TGCATGCAACGCCCTTCACTCCCTTCCTGCAGCAGCACCCCGCTGCCGTGGGAGCTTTCAGGTGGATCAGTGCACAACCAACTGCTTCAGAGCAGTCCCAGGAAATGGAGATGGGGATGAAACTGGGGTTGTTGAACACAGCTAAACACCAAGGCATGAGGAACCTGCTCAGCTGACCTCGTCCTTGCTTTGAGCTCTCTGCTGCTGACCCTGGGCACCCCGCTGCCCTTCGTGTATCCCACTTCCCATTGGAATCAAAGCATCCTCTTTGGCTGAATACCCGGGGATCTGCCTGAGGGAAGCGTTAAGTGCCCTTCCTATAATCAGGCACTTCTGGAAGTAGCACTTCCCAAAGCTCCGAGGACAGGAGCAACATCCACGAGCGGTCTGGGGTTGGTGCACCGTGCTGCGGGCCGTTGGGGGCACTCACCAGAACCACCCACAGCCTAAGGTGAATATTTCGGGGGGAACGACCTCAAAGGAGCAGCGGTGAGAGACGAATCGGCCCTTTTCCAGTTGTTTTTTCTTTTTTTTTCCCCGCTAAGAAGCAGGAAAGGTCTGAGAATGCTTCCCCCTAACGGCAGCACGAGGTGTGGGGAGTGGGAAATGCTGCTCCCAAATGATGGGATCTGCAGGGCTGCGATGGATCCCGACGCTGGAACGCAGCGGTGCCCTCCGGGGGACAGAGCCGTGCAAAGCCCCGCAGCTGCACTGCTCGGGTGGCGTTGCTGCTCTTTCCATGGATGCTGCTCAGGAGCACTCAGAAATCTCCACGTCACCCCTGGGTTCGGCTTATCTCAAAAAATAAAACAAAATCCTGCTCTTCTTTATGCTCCTCTGTCCTCTGTTCCTAAGGAACGCAGGCACAGCCCAGACAACAGCCAAGGGAAGTGATTCTGCTCCACACTGCCAATAACTCACTGAGTGACCTCAAGCCAATCCATCTTCCTCCTGTGCTGCATCCTGACCTGGTGACCAAAAGGACCTTCCCTGGGCTCACACAGCCCTTCACAGGAACCCCAGGTGGGACCTCATCACAGCAAGGAAGAACAACAGCAAATCCTAAACCAGACCTTGGCCTCTGAAGTGCACTGAAAACTGCAGTGCTCCTCCCCAGGGATGCTCTCCAGCTGCTAATAATTATTTTAACTCCACACTGGGGAGTCTTTGGAGCTGTCAGAAGGGTTACAGCAGCAGAGCCCAGTAAGGGAGACTCACACCATGCTCAGCCCTGGTGAATAACGCAGCAAAAGAAATGAGAAGTTCCTTCCTTGCGTTTGCCTTCTGCTCAGGGCAAGAACTGCAAGGCGTTCTCAGCGAGCGCCATCACCATCACCACTAAGCAGCAGCAGCGTGCCAGCCATCAGCAGACCTCACGCTGCTGGTTTCCATGCTCTCAGTGCCCCAAGGTAACACCAAAACCGTCCGTTCCATTTCTTACAGCACCCCAAACCTGGGCCCTCCATGCAGCTTCCTTCCCACGCTGCCACCGGGGGCGACGGCTGAGCTGCGGCTGCAGGCGGGCTCCCATTCACCACTGCACACATTGGCTGGGACTTGGTCACGTGGTTTGGTTGGTTGGTTTTTGGTTTTTTTTTTTTGCTAAGTTTTTATTTGAATTCAAGGACTTTGCTTCATACAAAATGTAATTGTAGAAACAACTGCAGAGTTCAAAGTTTGGCTGATAAATGGTACTCAGGCAGCAAACTAGGCAATCACAGAATCTTTCTCTTTTTTTTTTTTTTCTTTTTCTTTTTTTTGGGTGAAATTCCAGTTGTGTTGCATGGTTGGATCTTTCATAATTTTTAACATTTTTTTCTTTTTCCTTTTCTTTAAATAGAAAGTTTTGCAACAAACCCCCAATTTATATCAAATATAATTAAAAATTAACAACTGATGAATACATCGTATCAAAAAAGTACGAAGATAAACATTTTCCATGCACATACTTTTTATATATATGTATATATGTATATATTTTACATGCAAACATTACTTATTCAAAGTACAGCCACTACGAGACTGGTTCTGGATGCAGAAAACTGATTGGTGCAATTCAAGTTTGGCAACTCACTATGAGGATCCTTGGAGTTATGACGTATGCATTGAAGAGACAAGGCTGTAAAGGTGGAGGGGAAAAGGTTCTACGGACAACCGTGGTCGGGCTCCTCTGTCACCGCCATCGCTGGAAGCAACGACCCCTAGGGGAGGGCGGAGGGTCGGACAAGTGGAGCTGCTGCTTTGTGTTCCGTGCAAGAATCGGAGCGATCCCGCACCCCTGCAGGGCTGTGAGCTTCGGAGGGGGAACCGGTGTGGGGCCGTGGGGGCTGAGGTTGAGAATGACCGAGGAAGGGGCGAGGGGGGGGAAAGGCAAAACTGCTTGGCGCAGCAAGGCGGCTCGTCTGCTTTGCGGCGTGGGCGCAATGTTTGCATGCGGTGTTGGAGAGGTTCTGCTTTCTCCTCTCCTCCTCGGAGTAAAAGAGTGACGTTTTTCTCTAAAACTTCAAATAAAGCCTTTTTGTGCCTTCGTGTAAGGAAAATGTATAAAACGTTTGGTCACGATCATGCTGAAGCCTGAAACAGGAAGATCCAGCAGATAAAGCTACAGAATGGATGAAGGTCTCACTGACTGTGGTGTGGATGTGTTTCCTTACGTGTCATCTTGTTGCATAGCCCTCCGTTTGCAAATTACAGCCATTACCCATAGAGGACCTCTGGCTACCGCACTTCCTTTATTCAAAGTGCACATAAATACAGAGACAGAGACAGGAGTTTTCCTTTAGCAGAATCCAGGGATGAGATCGGCCAGAGATTATCATTCAGTAACGGAACAAAAAACACGCAACGGAACGCGACAGGTAGAAATTCTCCAACAGAAAAGCTACAGGAGATGTGAAGAACCATCCTACAGCAGGATGCTCCCAGCACAGATCCCCAGAAGGACCCTGCTGAGACCATCAGAGACCTCCTGACTGTTTTGGTAGCCTCCAACACCCTAAAACCACCCTCGTGTCCAAACCCTATCAGCAGGTCGTGCCGGGATCTCCACCCGGTTCAAGCTTTGCCTTGAGAAGTTCCACAGTTCTGGGGCTCGGTTGATCCTCTGAAGTAATTCAACTGTCCAACCATTTCCTATCGTTACTTTTAGCAACGTGCTCTACGGGCACCTCCCACCCCTCCTGCTTTAACCTTCCGCCCAGGAACTGCTTGGCTTCTGGCCTCCCATGCACCAAATTAGCCCTACTGAGGTTCTCCAAAGCCACGGACACCAGGTCCTGCCCAGGCGCTTCTTTTGGTGCTTTCTCCCCATTGCCAGGTCATCTGCGCCTCCTTCCCAGGCTCAAAGTGCAGAAATCCACACGTGCACAAAATAAAAAGTCGTCCAACGTAAAAGTCATTGCAAGAACACAGAAATCTCATCCCTGAGAATCAGAGTTAGAGGTTTTGATATTTTTGTTTCGTTTTCTTCTTGACAGGCAATTAAAAACAAGTCTCTCTCCATCTGCCCCCAACACAAACGACGCACCACGGGACACGGCCGCGGCTCCCGCAGCCCAGCTACAACTCTAGACATGCAATGGGAAAGGTGCAGCTCCTCTGGGAGCATCACTGCAGCTCTCCCACAGGACCTAAACATCTGTCAACGAGACAACACCAGACAACGAGACAAGGCCAGCTCCAACCGCTGCAGTTACACCCTTCCCGCTCTCAACAATTAAATCGTATTTAAGAAAAGAAAGCCAAATTAAAAACAAACAAACCAAAAAAAAAAAAACAAAAAACAAAAGAAAACCAACCCAACAACAAAAAAATCACCAAACCAACCCCAAAACGTGTTTGCCTTCCCCGCTACCATCTTCCAACCCAGCCAAGGCAATGTGCTCGCCATGGGAGCTCCATCCCCAGCTCCTGCGGGCGCTGCCCCAGGCCCCGCTACCCCCACGTCCGATGCATCGAAGCAAGAGTTTGCGTCGTTGTTGCCGTGAAAGATTTCAAAGGTTAGGCACTTAGTAGTGAACAACTGGAGCATTCGGTAGAAACGGTGGGACCTGGAATGACAATTGGACTAATTCTCTACATAAAGAGTAATTTTTTTTTTCCCTTTTTTCTCTCTCTTTTTTTTTTTTTTTTTTTACTGTACAATTTACAAAAATGCACACAATGAAAAGTTAAAGTTCTATCTAATAGCTTGATATAAAACCAATAGCATTTCTTCTGCTCAACTCTACGCTTTTTTCCTTTTTTTCCTGTTTTGTTTAGTTGTTTTTTTTTTTGTGGGTTTTTTTTTTTTTTTTTTTTTTTTTGCTAAATCAAGCTTATATTGTAAACAAGACAAAACAGTGAGGGCATGTTGCAGTCAACAGGAGAGAGGGACAGGAAGAAAAGTCTCAGCAGCAAGGAAACAGTCCTTAGGAAGGAGCTCTCGTGTGGCTTTCTGGTGGGCGTGGAGGACCCGAAGTGGTGATGCACGTGAGAGGTCCGGGGCGAAGCAGCGAGTTCCTGGGAAGGGTCGCTGTGGCTGAACATCAAGTCCCAGTGGACTGTCCTTTGTTCTGATCTGTGGGGTTTTTTTTCTCCTCTCCCAGTTCTCTAGGTAGATCTCTTCCCTCTTAGCGGGAAATGAGATAAAACACGGGGTCGAGATTTGTTTGCCGGTGTCCCTTTTGCAACCCTGACTCCTGCCCAGATAAGGGTGGGGAGAGAAAAAAAATAATGAAGTAGTAGCCCAACCTCCCACTGACCAATCAACTGGTCAAACAAATTGGCACCAAACAGTGCCAATCCCAAAAAAACATTGGTGGTCTATTTGCCTGCCGACAGGGATGGCTCCATGCGGACCTCGTGGTTGGGCATCTGGTGCACGTTTTTGAAAGCAGCAGGAGGTGGGGAGAGGTGTGCTGCTCCCCGGGAGGGAGCCTGCTTCCTTGGTATATTTCAGTGGGAAAAAAAAAAAAAAAAAAAAAAAAGGAAGAAAAAATGAAAAGAAGAGAGAGGCAGGAGAGAGGCTGCACAAATGTCTCCGGAGGTCTCGGAGTGGAGCAGAGCAGTTCTGGCAGCAGGGGCCACCCCCCGGCACCGCGTGTCTGAGCGCACAGCCTTCCAGATGATAAAACTCATCGACTTTCCCCGTGTGCGCCTCCGAGGGTTTGGCTGTGCCGCTAGCACCAGTCGTCCTCGTCGGCTTCGTGGTAGTAGCTCCGTCCCCTGGTGCCAGTGCCGGGCCCCGTGTTGAGCCCCAGCGTGTAATGGTAGCCATTGGGCACCCGGCGTGCTTGGTGAGACTGGGAGGTCAAGGAGGAGACGTAAGAAGTCCTGGAGGAACGGCCCGAGTTGGTGGCCACGGCTTCCTCGAAGGTGAGCGTGTCCTCGGGCGCTGCGCTCACCGGGCTGTCGGCGGCGTCGCGGTGGCCCAGGTAAGGATCGGAGCCGATGCGGGCAACCGCGGCTGGGGGCGGCTGCTGGTCCCCACGCAGCAGCGCGTTGTGCTCAGACAGCCCGCGGCTCAGGCGGCCCGGGGAGAAGGGCGGGAGGCCGCCCGGCGACGTGCCGAAGTGGACGGGCGAGGAGTTGGCGGTCTTGTAAGTGATGCTGGGGCGTGGGGTCAGGGGGGTCTGCGGGAGCTGCCTCCGACCCCGGCAGGGGGTACTAGCACCAGATGTCGACAGCAAGGGGCTCCCGTTAACCGAACCACTGCCCTACATCAAAATTGGAACAGAGCGAATGAAAAAAATAACAACCAAAACGAAAAAAGAAAAAAAAAGAAAGAAAAAAAAGGAAGAAAGAAAGGAAAAAAAAAGAAGGAAACGCCGGACGAACACAAAGGCAGGCAGGTGTAAAACAGAAGGAGAAGCGACAGGAGGGAGAGACAAGTCACAAGAGGAAAGAGAAGGAAAAAGAGAGAGTTTAGACACGCACAGTTAGGGGAAGGAGGTTCTCAAGAAATAACTGAACAGGAGATGGGAAAAGTTGGAGAACTGAAGTTCTGCAAGCAGTAGGTAAGGACAGAAACGACCGGAGCACTGGTAGGACGCAAACTGGTAGATGGCTCCAACAGAGCCTGGGGAGAGGACCCACAGCACACACACCCCAACATGCCCTTACCTCTGCGACTCCGTGAGCGGCCCCACAACCTGCTGTGTTTGTTGGCAAACACAATTTGGCCAAAAAGCGCTCTGCTTTGGGGCAAAGTTTTTCTCAGTTTCAGCCAAGAGCTGTGAACATTGGCCCTGGGCGTCGCTTTTGTGCTCAGAACTGAATTGTGTGGGAGAATTTTGGGATAGACTTTTTTGACAGTTTCAATTGGAACGTGTTTTATTCCTAAATAGATACTTGCTGAGAAACAACAACAAAAGGACTTTTTTAATGGGCTCTAGCTTTTTAACAAGAGGGCTCCTTCAAGAAAAACACTGAGAACTGTGTTCACCTTATGCTTGTTAATATTGCACCCTCACTACTGGAATGGAAGAACAAACTGGCAGCTCCATCAGTTACTAACAGGGATGCATGGGAGAAAACTGAGCTACAAAGGGGGAAAGAACCATGAGAAGAGAAGCAGTCCATGCTTCAGCACTTCAGTTCACCTTCTCCCAAGGCAGTGCATGAATAGCCCTAGGAGCACGTTTTAAAAATCCCTCACTTTTCAGGATCTGGTCTTTTGGGACCAGGACTTAATTTCTCATTAGTAGCTTTTTCTTCTGTGGCAACATTGAATTGCTGCTGGTTGGGCTAGCCAGCAGTGCCTGTTCTGCTCTGCTCTGTTGGGTGCTCATATGACTGGGATACAAACTGTTGTCCTTCAGAGCCTGCACATTGGATCTTTGCCTTTCTTTTCTTCCACTTCTACCCTTTCTGCTACAGGCAGGTCTCAGGCTTTCTGCACGCTAATGGAGATGATGGGGAGGATCACCACCACTCAGTGACCTAGTATTTCCAAGGGAGGATGCCAGCCTTTTGCACGGTCATACATTACAACGTACAAATGGATGCTCCAGCACTGGAGGTGTTCAAACTCAGGTTGGATGGGACTTTGGCCAACCTGATCTTCCAAAAGAAATCCCCACCCATAGCAGGGGCTTGAACTAGATGATGTGTCCCTTCAAGCCGAACAATCCTACGATAAGCAGGACCTTAAAGCTTTGCCTTCCACGGTCTTCCATCTCCTCTATTTTAAGAGGGGCATGGAGAGTGTACATTCCTAGCAGAAGTAAAGGCTCTCCTCCCACCCTGCATCTCCTCACCTGTCTGTGGGGACCTTGCTCAGGCCCACCATTGGGCGAAGTGGGCCTGCTCTGATCAGCAGACTTGGGCTGGGATCGGTCCCGGCTGCCATAGCGATCACAGGAGTAGAAGCGCTGCTTTTCTGAAGAGGAGGAAGAGTGCTGCTTCCTCTCTTGGGACCGTCCACGCTCCTGCTTCTTGTCCTTGGAAGAAGATTCACCAGACTGGGCCACTGAAAGAATATTAATTGGCGCTCACCAATGTGAGAAGAACACTGAAATGCGGAGCAGGGACCCCAGATCACACAAGAAGACTGCTATGGACTAACCCTCGTCAAAACACAAAGCTCTTACCAGCTTCCCCATCGGCCAGCTGATGTGTGGTCCTGTCCAAGGACTTCTGCTTCTTCTCTTTCCGCCGGTGGCAGCGGTGGTGGTGGTGGTGATGCACCTGGTCCGTGGGCACGCGTTCCAGGGAGTACTCATAGAGGTGCATGGGATGTGGACGCTGCGGGGTCAGCGTGGAGATAGAGCGCTTCATGGGGCTCGTGTCCGGGATGGGCTGCGGGGCACAGGGCACAAGGAGCAGGGTCAGGGGATGAGCACCTCACCTTGCTCAGCTGCTCGTTTCTCAGCGCCGGGTGAGTTTTATAGAGATAGACAGGGGCAAGGAGAAAAATAGTTCATTGGCTCTAATTGGAATGGGCAGAAGAACTCGGAATGGTGGACTTAGCGGTAAGTTCGAGGAGCAAATGAGATCTCCATTTGCTGAAATGGGCTTTACTTTCAGTTTTGTGCCAATCCACAGGGCGCAGAGCAGGGATGCAGCACGTCACACCACACACAGCCTCATGGGAGTCAACAGGAGATGAGCAGGGGCACAGGGCAGCACAGCAGCCAAGCGTCTCACAAAGGTTATTCTCCAAGACCAGTTCCACCCAAAGCTGCTTCAGGGCCTGGGATCATCCCAAATCAACTCCAAAGAGGGAAAGCATGAAAGCATTTCTGGGCATCGCATGGAGAGGGAGAAAAATCAAAAATAAAAAAAAAAATGGGCAAGGTACAGGCTAAGCCACCAAAGAGCTACAGCTGTCTTCCTGCACCTGAAAACCACTTCCATCAAACTGTTAAACCTCCCCTCTTGTCCTGCTTGTCCCAGCCACAAGGGCATCATGAGCAATGATAGGACATCTTGTATACTCTGCAATTTTACCAGCATACCCCCAGAAATAATTACTCAGGCTTGCTACTGCAATTTTCAAACCATCTTGGCTTGACAGCCAAGCACAAGAGCTCTGCACAGCAATCCAGCCTCCCACAGGCACTGCTGGGTGCTGTCTCTACACCAGTGAAAGCTCCAGCCTCTGCTCTCCTCCCTTTGGGTTCAAACCTCACAATGATGCTCTGTAGAACACAAGGTAAATGGGCTGCAAGACAAATGCTCTCACATCCTTTTATCTTCCTGTTGAGGTGTAAAACTCAGAAAACAAGGGAAATCCCTGTGTTTCCTTCTCTATCACTCTACTGGTCTCCAGCTGCTTCGCAGAGTGCTCTCAGGTGGACACAGGGCTTCCATCCACATTCTGCTGGCTTCCCGAGGTCTGCCATCACATCTAGGCTTCTTGCTAGAGGGAAGCCATGCAGCAGAATGGGGAGGGAGCTCAGGATGTCCTTTGGTTTGAGGCTTGTTTGAGTTCTCAATCCAATAGGTGCCCCAAATGACACTGCCAGCAGAACATTTACTTTGCTCATGGTAACCTTTCCAGTGAGCCCTGCATTATTTTTACCATCTATACTCTTCTGTCTGCTTTGCCTGAATTTCAGAGCTCTGCTTCCCCGTGATATTTACATAAAGCAGAGCTGTTTGGATTGCAGCCCCAGTTGGTATTTTGGAGAAGAAGAGCTTCTGTTCCTCCCAGCGTGACACTGTGCATGCGGAGGTGCCATCTCAGCTGAATTTTTAGTTTCTGCTCTCTCTTTCAAGTTACTGAAGTGTTGACTTTTCCTATCACAGTGCTGCGTTAGAACTGGAAAGCTTGTCATGGACACGAGGAAGATATGGTTGGGCAGCTGAGGTGGGGACACAGCATCACACTGCTGTTTGCCCAGCAGTGCACAGCTACAGGAGCAAGGCGAGCTGCTGCTTCGTTGCTCTGCTCCCACAGCCCTTTCTATGTACACTTTGTAGAAGCAAGAAATCATATTTAGGGCTTCACTTTTGTCCTTCACTTTCTTTGTTCATTTTTGTTTGCTTTTTGCCCACTTCTGTACTGTTGAGCCTAAAGATGGAGGAAGTGGGAGAGGACCGTAAACTGGCAGTCAGATTTGGGAATTCACTGACGTGGGTAAAGAAACAAAAATGCTTCTCACTAAAAGCATTCAACAGGGTTTCCTAGGTCATCCTAGGAGCTACCAGAAAGACAGGCATTTTCCAATAAAATGTCAGCCAAACCCATAAGAAATGAACATTTCTCTTTGGACCCGATTCTGTGCTTATTCCTGGGACAGAAGTCCTCACTGACACAAACAGGAGGTGGATCTTAGCAAGGCAAAGCCCATCCTCATCAGAAACCCCAACAATGCTCTCATTACATTAATGGGGCACACACATGAGCCCCGGGAGACCATACCATAACCCTTCACAGAGTGACTAATCGCTTCTTCATTACCAAACTGGCAGTTTTCACTTCCTAAATCCCTGTGCAATAAGGCATGGAAAAGAAATGAATAAGCAAAACGAAGAAAATCCCTGCTATTACAGCGTGCGGCGTGCAGTTGTGGGTCGAAGGGATGGCAGCAAAGTGGGGAGAGACAGCAGCTGCATCGGTGCAACATCGTACTCCAAATGAGAAGGGAAAGAAGTAAAGGGTTAAGGAAGGTTAATCGTTTCTTAACACAGATTTAATAGGATACAACTTAGTGCAAACTACATACTGCTAGGTAACTCCCAGGTGACCGTGCTTTGCTCCTCTGCAAACAATTCGGACAAGATGAGAGACATTATTTGAAGCAGCCCCACAGTACAGCCATTGTCAGACACCGCAGCAGATGTGCAGCAGACACGATGAGGGTGGGAGGGGAGGCGGTGGGGAGCAGGACAGCAAAGAGGCAGGGAAATGGAGAGCATAAGGGATTTGTTTTTAAGAGGGGAGTGTAAAAAAAAAAAATAAAAAAAAAAATGGAGGAATAACAGATAAATAAGATGTCCAGAAAACAGAAGGAAAGGGAACGTATCGCAAATAAGAGTTGTAAGGAACTCAAAGATTGGGGGAGTGCAGCAACAGATGAGAATTGGGGGGAGGAAGGGGGAGACACACAGAGAGGACATTGGTTATTTGGCTGAAGCTACAACACCAGAACATTACATCATTACATGAGGTTAGATCTGCTCAGATATTACGGGCCTGATTCATCATAAGATCAGAGAGCTTTGGTGAGGGCAGTCTGGGGGACAGGTACTGTGCTCCTGCAAGCAAACACTTCTGGAAAAATGGAGTGGTGGAAAGTGACAGGCTTTGTCTCTGTGTTGGAGCGTTTCCCAGCAGCGTGGGAAGACATTGCTGGGACTGCTCAGGTCTGAGTGGGACCAGGCAGCACTGGAGAGGTCATAAATCACAGAATCATTGAGGTTCAAAAGACCACTAAGATCATCTAGTCCAGCCATCAGGTGCACGAAGAAGCAGCTGAACTCTTCCTCAGAGAAAACTGCAGCTGCAAGGTGCAGTGAAAGCAACCCAGAAGGTTGCTAAAACCTAAATCAGCCATATCTGCTGCAACAGAGAGGAATTTCCCAAGATAAGGCTTACAATGTTGGCTTTGCTGTTGGTCACTACATTGCACTGGAAGGCTATTGGAGGTCTAGGATAAAGGACAACTTTGTTTTGGGAAGGCTGAAGGGAAGGAGTATGGTTTGTTTGGGGGCCTGTTTCTTTCATTAAGTGTCCTGCTTAGTGTTAACTGATAACTCAGAGAATCCCAGGAGACAAGATCCCAATCAGTGACTTGCTGGAGCTCTCACACAAAAAGTGGAGTTTCTGACATCAGCTGGGAAATTTGTTAGCCAGTGAAGCATAGCTTACATCAGCCTAAGCACACTGGCAAAGTTTTTCTATCTGTTGGAGCCATTTCCACCTGTGCAATACATGGCCTTTGAGTTTTGAGGGGCAGCACATCTTCCGTGTTCTGCTTCATACGAAGAGCAATGGGGAATGGCTCACAGCCCTGGGCTGCTCACTTCTTTCTGTATGAATCAGGCCCTTTGAACAAAAGACACAACTGTGAGATGTTCTGACACACAAGAGGAGGAATGGAGTCTAGAGAGCACCTGGGTTAACAAGCAGGGATCACGCACAATGCCCAAAAACGGTACGTGAAAGCCATGATCTCCTGTGCACTGAGGAATGTCCACAATTAATCACCAAATTGCTGTAAAAGCCAACTCTAATGATGAGGTTTCTTTACAAGAAGTTAAACAAGGAAAATCAAATCCTTAATGACATATTACCAATCACAACACAGGATACACTAATAACTGTGGGAAGAGGAAAACACAGGAAGACTGCTTAATTTCTCAGTAGAACCTTCCAGGCACAGTCTCCCTGGTATTTTCCATACCTCCTGCATTTATCAAAGAGAACCACAGGAAATCTCCAGCTTATTTTATGGCTGGGGCATTGGAGCATGCTTCAGCTGTCTGTCTGGATAGATGGAAGACAACTGGCAGTGAGAAACATATGGCTTCTAGGAATACAGGTTGGCAAACACGTTTGTCCCCAGGTAATCAGAACAGACATTCTTGTGTAGGCAGTCACCATTTAGCAATCCAAAAAGAGGGATTTCTCTTGCTTGCTTTTTGCTGCAACCAGGAGCAAGTAAATCTGCAGACAATGCTGCATTGCACATGAATGCCTATCATCCAAACAAAAAGCCTGGCTACCAGGCGCCAGGTTCAGCTTCCAAAAAACCTCACAGGCAGCTGACAACAACAGCTCCAATCCCTTGCCATGCTCTCAGCCTCCCTCCACTAGCTTCCCTCACTCACCTGAGTTTCGGCAGCCAGGCGCGGCATGGAAGCTGCCCGACCCTGGCTCTCCAGCCCTGGTTGGTGCTCTCCATTGGCAAGCGTGGGGCTGATTTCCCTCATTTCCACCACCTGAAGCAAGAAACAGTGTTAAATACCAAGGCCACAACAGCTTCAAAGCCCCTGTATTAGCAGTATTCTCCTAATTGATGTGTGAAGAGGTGCTGCTAGGGAAAGAGAAACTGGGAGAAACCCAAATTATTCTCTGTCAATAGGGTTGCTTTCAGCAAAGACAGCAGTGAGCTACGAGCCATGGCAATGAATCATGGAATCACAGAATCATAGAATGGCCTGGGTTGAAAAGGACCACAATGATCATCGAGTTTCAACCCCCTGCTATGTGCAGGGTCACCAACCACCAGACCAGGCTGCCCAGAGCCACTTCCAGCCTAAATGAATCCCAGCTCTGACCTTTGACACCTCTCCTCTGGGTTTATACACTAATAATAATGAGACAACAAGGAAGACAAAAGCCTAAGAGTCCCATCTCAGCAGATGTGTAGTGTTAGCAGGATAAGCACATCTGCAAACACAGCTAACAGACTTGCTTTCTCTCCATAATGTTCAAGCAAGTTTTGGGTGGTAAGAGAGACAATGCTTATCCCAGAAAGCAGTGGACCTCTCCAGCTCTCACCGAAGTGTGTACCCTGACATCTATTAAGATCTGCTGCATTTCACCCAGGTTCAGCTGTTTGCTTACCCGTTCAATGGGGATCTCCTCTGAGTGGCCTCGTTCAAAAGCTGGGGTCCTGGTTTCATAAAACACATCCTGGGTGCGTTGGGTCCCCCAGGAACTGGACTCTTTGATCCCACCCTCTGGGGCTGGCCTGCCAGAAGGTAAATTGGAAGAAAAGATGAACTCTTTTGCAAAAGGGTTTTGCTAACTTAATTGTGGCAAAGGTAAAGCATCCAAGTAACCTCTAACAATGCATTTCTGAAACCAGCTGAAGGGTAGTTGGTGAAGCTATTAAGTCCTGTAGGCTTCCCCAGGGCCACTTTCTTTATAACTCAAAGATCCCTTGAGCAACCAGGAAAACAAAGAAATCAGCACATTCTTTTTCAGTAAATGAGGAAATCGACCTCTGCAGCTAAAGTTCTAATGAAGCAAAACAGACTGTTTTGGAATTCAAGCAAATTATGTATGTAAAAACAGACAAATAACCTTAAATGACGCTGGTCAAGCGTAACTGTGCTCAGGCTAAGCTGAATTCACTGAATGTACAGGGGTACTGCAGCCCTAGGTTTTATGTCTGAGTCTGCAGTTCGTCTCCTGAGGTATTTAAACTTCAGATCTCTATCATTAAAAAATCCATGGCATTAGTGACCCTGAAGAAAGTCACCTGAGGAACAGGAAATGGAGAATTGACTGTAACTGTTTGGTAAGCTTTCTATGGAGGTGTTATTTTGTCCAAAGAGAAAGAGCCAGAGATTCTGTCCCAGACAGCCTTCAGGAAGCTCTTGCTGTTATCAAGTGCCATAATCTTAAAGGACTTGTCTGCTCCTGGTGTCCCAAGAACTCACTGCATTAGTGATCCATTGGTTGGTTAGCTTGGGATTTATCTGTCTGTTTTGCAATGTTCCCAAATTTCTATAACCAAACTCACATTTAAAACTGGCCACAATGGAAAACACTGTATTTAAGTTTCAGAGACCACTAGGGAAACACCCAGCTTTGGAGAACCCACCAGTACCACCATGTGGAGAGCTGCATTGGTAGGAGGTATTTCGACAGCCACCAGTGGAAAGCTGTCCTGGCCACACGTGAGGAGGCCCTTGAGCTTGGAGACACTGGAAATGCTCTGCACCACCACAGCAACTGAATCAGGGTAGATGTTATCTGCCCTCCCTTGGTGCCCCTGCTCTGTATCACAGATACTCACAATGTGCCCCCGTTGTTGAGCGAGGCTGAGCTTTTCTGGCGCAGGAATGCCTTCGCATTGCTGAAGGCTGAGGGTTGGGTTTGCTCCAAAGTGGCCTTCAAGGGGTGGAAGAGTGACACCGGTCCGGGCTGTGAAGAACAAAGGATGATTGTAAGAGATGGAGCTGAGTGTGGAGAGGATGCACGGCGCTAACCAAGCATCCCCTGCATCCCCAGACTTTCTGAGTGCAACGCACCAGTGACCTGGTGAGAACTGCCCACTGCTTGAGAAGCAGCTGCAGGAGAGGGAGGACAGGGAGCGGCATCCCCAGTACCTGGCAGAGCCCCCCAGGAGGCTGGTGGACTTGTTCCCTGCTGTTCTTGTTCTGTTTGTAGAAGTCAAATATCATGAGCGCTGCGTAGACCTTCCCCACAGTCATCTCATCAGCTGGTGAAAGGCAGGAGGTGTTCGGGTGGAGAAAGGGAGAGGACCAGGGGAGGGGTGGATAAGTCAAAGCACGTGAGAAACATCAAAGGGGTGCGAGAAACAAGGTGAAAGAACAGGCAACGTTAGAGGATTGAGGCAAAGCAGACACAGGGAAAAGAAAAAAAGCAAAAAAGGTTATAACAAAGTTCTTCAGATCTTTGCCAGTTGCCGCCTTAACGTCTGAGCAGGGCGGCCCCTCGCCCCTAACTCCCAATGGCAAACATTCACAGAGTCTGGGTGGAAAAGAATCAGGCAGAGAAACTCCATGGCACTGTCAGCACTGCCGAAGAGCCACTAAATTAATACCAGATCTGCAGCAAACTTTTTATCAACAAAAGAGCCTTTTCTGTGAATTATAGTCAACCGGGGCATAGCAGGCTAACGTACATCTCAAAGTATTTCATTTTTCCAGATGTCTTTTTCACCCTCCCAGCTCTTCTCCCCTCCTTTCCCTACCCAGCAGCTGAACAAAAAGGAGTTAAAAGACACAAAGGCACCACGAGAAGTGAGGAGGAAAAGAATTCTGTAGTTGCTACCCACTGATCTGCACCTCCTCAGCTCCCTCATCTGTCTTAATTAACTTTGCCTTTATTGCTCTGCACTGTTTCTCATTAATCAGGAATCCGAGCCCTTGCTTTGGCCAATCAAGATAATGGCAAGCTTTCCACTTTCTCAGCACTTTCTCCTGGGATATCATTGAGCAGCACAAGGTTCCAAGATACCTCACTTCTGATTCTGTAAGTTCTCAGCAAACTTTTAATTTTCTTCTCCTGGTTTTCTGCAGCAGACTGAACCCAGATGGCAAAAATTGCTCTCCTGCTCTTTGAGGCACAAGCTGGAGGCAAACAAAAGCTAGGAACAACGTCTGAAAGAAGCCACGCAGCATTGGTCTCTTCTCAGCATGGTGCTTTTTCTAAGGACGTGAAACCTACTGTAACGTTAAGGAAATGCAGGCCTAAATTTGACCTCAGCTTACCTGCTCCTTAGGTGGTCATAGAATCATTAAGGCCAGAAAAGATCACCAAGTCCTACCACCAACCCACCCCACCATGCCCACTGATCACGTTCTCTAAGTGCACATCTCTATGTTTTCTGAAAAACTCCAGGGAAGGGGACTCCATCACTTCCCCTGGCAGCCTGTTTCAATACCTCTGTGATCAGCAACACCTGCAAGCTGATCTACACTGGGTTTCTTTGCTGCATCCTGTGCATATGAACTGTGTACCTGGTTAAGGCTCGGGACAAAGCAGGCATGAAGGGGGGAAAACCCATGCCAGGCTTCTTGGAGGACTGGGTGCTTACGTTTGTGAGGAGGCACCAGCAAATCCAGTGTCTTCTGGGACAGGTTGGGCCAAACCAGAGAGATCTCCTTTCTCAGCTCAGCATCACACTGGTGCTGCTTAACACCCCCTGAAAAAAAGGGAGAGGAAACAAGAAGGCACACGAGTGAAAATCCTCATTCATTCAGCACAGCAAGCACAGAAAACACATCCCCCACTCTCCTTTCTCGACAGCACCAAACCAGAACCAGATGCAGCAGGAAACTACAGACCACGACTACAGTGTGTGAGCTCAGCAGGGCCAGCCCCAGCCTGCTGACCTGTGCTGTCACCTAAGGCTTAAACTTCAGCCCCAGCCTCTTCTACCTGATTGCATGTGCTGCCCAAGTACCATCAGCAGAAAGCAGCAGCACCTGCAGGGTGTGATGCAAAGGAGGTCAGTGATGATTAGAAGCCCTCCCCACCAGCAGTCCTTCCTGAGCTGTTTGGCAGTGGGACATAAGCAAACTCTCAAAGCACCGTGCTGTATCAACAGCATCAAACGGGAGCCACGGAGCAGCGTAAACCAGGAGGAGCTGAACACTGCAGCATTATTCAAACGGCCAAAGTGAGGTCTCAATACACAAGTGGAAAGTGATTAAAGTATATGTAAGCCAACAGGCCAGCTCCCAGCTGAATGCACCACACAGCAGGCAATTAAGTAGTTCATTTGAATGACAGAGATTATTTTTCTAAGAGGAAAGTAATGGGAGGAGGCTCTGGGTGCTCTGCTACATGGCAGTCTGAACTCCCACACTCAGTCTCATTAGGGAGGGTTTATTAAGGGCCTGTTAGCCTTACTAAAGACTCAATTAAATGCAGCACATGAAACCTATTCAAACCAAGCAATGCAGCAACAGAACAGGCAGCAACAGAACAGGTCGAGAACTCACAGCCTGCAGCAGATAGAGGCCCCTGAGCAATGCCTGCACAATCAGCCAGGCTGGTTCTCTGCTTTCTCTATGGTGCATGGTTAAAAAAATAGAACGGGGGGGGGCTTTTGCAACTGAAAAAGCCTGCGTGAATTACGCTGCTGACAGCCAACTAGAACCCTAAAATAAGGCAAACTCTCAGAGCTTCAGTGGCTTTGTCCAGATTTTATTACTAAAATAAGGTGTTGGCCCTAAAATCCCAGAGAGTCTTAAATGCATCCTTAAATGTGAGCATTATTAGGGGAGTCCTTCCGGGGCCTCAGAGTTTTTGTGTTCTTCTAGCATTGCCAAAGCATCAAAGATGAAGTTTCAGTAACAGACCAGGAAGGCAATTAATGCAGAGAGGTGGAAAGGCTGGCCTAAGGAAAAGCACAGCATTCTAACCCAGCCCTGCCCTTTGCTCACAAGAACACTGTTGCCTCCTGTTAGCCTCTAAATTAGGTAAAACAGTGTTTTGGCCCATTGTGCCTTGACTGTGACCCCAGCCAGCCTGATTAAACAGCGGAACGACCCATAGAAAAGGCTGGTGTGTTTTAGTACCTTGCAGTGTTTAATTGGGAAGTGAAGTATATGCCTGAGTAAGCACTTAAATAATAACATTTTATCTCAGGGCAGCTCGGAGTGCTCTGAGTCACTGCTTCACCACAAGCAGACAGTAACACTGTTGTTTTTTTTTTCTCTCTCATGCTGGAATAATCACAAAGTGAGGTGCAGAAACTTGTGTCTATTACAGGGCACGCATGGGGCTCCCAGCTGAGCTGGGATGTCCAAAGCTCTGCACATCTCCTTAACCAGGATACGGCTGACCAAAGGCACAACAGGGCTCAGGACTCCTCTCTGCTGCCCATCCCTGGAGCTCTCTCATATTTTGGGTGTACAGAATGAAAATGGCATTTCCACCTGGCTTGGCACTGCTGTGGTTTCAGGACTGCAGAGCAGCAGGCAAGCTGGGGTTCAAGCCATGCAGCTGTCATTCCCTCCCTCTCACCTGAGGCAAGCTTGATTTCCAGAGCAGTGCGGATCAGGGCCATCAGCGTGGAGGTGAAGTGGACTGTCAGATCCTCGGGTGAGATGGGCATGTTCATCCTCACCAGGCGCTGCGGGAGGAAAATGGGCACTGTCAGCTTTGGTCAGCATTTCTCCCCCTACCCCTCCCCTTCCCTCCTGAGAGCCCCTATTAACAGCCCCATTGCAAACATGAGCCCTTCTCCTTGTGCTAACCTTTTGTGCACTGAGCTCAGACATCATCTCCATGCAGCTGCAGCTCCTTTCCTGGAGCAGGGCTGAGCTGCTGCTGTTGGCTGCGATGGATTGCCAGCATTTGTACTGCAACGCTATATGGAGATTCCTTCCAAAAGAAGCTGGTTTGAATATCCCCACCCCATTTCAGAGCCTATCACTCTGCTCCTGATGGTCTTCATCTACAGTCCTACCTGCAACCTCTGGACACGCAGCTCTGCAGACCTTGGAGCGCTCCCATGATGATGCCTTTTGCACACAGCCTGAAGCACATTTGGGGCATACAGGGCCAATGAGCTTTGTGGTTTGGCCCAGTTTGGGTCTGGCTGCTAATACGTAAAAGGATAGAATGTTCATTTTTTTGGAGACTCTTGGGTTTGATCTTGGACCTCCTTTACCTATGAGCATCCCAAGAGCTGTGAAGATCTCCAGTCAATGAGCTACACAGCTCCATCCAGGTCTTACCCTTAGGGGAAGGAACTGAGTGGGCAAGAGCAGGACTGTAATTTCCTTCTCCCACATTCTTTCAGTCTGCACATGGAACAGTCCCCCAGAATCTGCACGCATCTTCCAAGATCTTTAGACCTGGTGGCATCTCCTTCCCCACCAGCAATCAGGACCAGCTCTGATGGGGCAAAATCATCCCTCCTATATGCAGTACAGACCTGAGCACAGTGCTTCAGAGGCTGTGGCTCCCTTAACATCTGGCGTCTGAGTGTGGAAACGCAGACGAGTGGAAGCATTCTCCGATAACCTTAGCATTGCATTTAAAGGATGGATTTCTTCTCCTTTGGCAATCTCCTCGTTTCTCAGCTCCTCAGCTTTCAAAAGCTGCTGAGCCTCGCTCGGAGCCTTATCAAAGCAGCCCCGGTGTTTCCGCTCCCAGATTGCTCCTGCGCCCCGAGGAAGTCACCGAGAATTAATCTTTGCTGTAAGCCAAGCAGGAGCCTGGCCGGGGCCCCTCGCTCGGGAGGGAATTTCATCCAAGCCCAAAAGCTGCTTAGGCTGTGGCTTTGATCCCTATCAGTGTTGCAGAACCCTCTCTTTGTTCAGCACCAGCCGTCGTGCTGCCGCAGCACTGAGCACAGGCGCAAGGGAGAGCGCAGCGCCTGCCTGCGTGCCATGACACCGCGCAACACCGAGGGCAGCTTGAGAAATCACCGACACGCAGGCATTGTGCTGATGGGCACGGGGCATTAATTAGGTGAAAAAAGGCTGCTTGTCAAGCAAGCTGATGTTTGGCAGAGCTGAGACCCACCCTCCCCCCTTTTTATCTTATTACGCATCTTCGGATTTCATGGCACGGTGCACAAAGGACTCATGTAGCAACTGACCCTGTCTCCTGAAGGCTGAGACGAACCACTGCAATCTCAAAGAGCTCTTAAAGCGTGCCCAGAGGTTATCAGTCGTGTCTGACAAGCCCCTGAGAAAGTGAAATCAAAGCCAAGACTCCCCTTCCTTTGTAACTCAGTGACAGAAGCAAATGCTGGCAAAGCCACAACCGTTTTCTCTTTTCACTTATCTCCAATGAAGAAGCATTTTAATTCAGACTTTCCCCTCAGTGCACAAAAAGGTAGCACAAGATTTCTGCATGACTGTGAGCCCAGAGACCAGCAGTCCCATCACATCCCGCCGCAGTGGTACAGAGAGGATAAAGAGCTGGAGAGTGAAAGAAGATGCATGGCAGAGAGGAACAAGCAGATGAGAAATAATCCCTCCAGGAGAGCTCTATCCTCACACAAACCAGCACTAAAAACCTATTGTGGGACTGCAACATCCCAGTCCTCTCTCCCAGCTTCCCAGACTGAATTCCCCAGAAGTGTGGAGGCAGAGCACAGCAAGGCTGCATGAAGGTCTTTCCTCCTCAATTGTATTCAGGAGGGATATTAGTAATGTTAGGAGGAAGTTTTTCACTCAGAGGGTGGTGAGGCACTGGAACAGGTTGCCCAAGGAGGCTGTGGATGCCCCATCCCTGCAGGCATTCAAGGCCAGGCTGGATGTGGCTCTGGGCAGCCTGGGCTGCTGGTTGGTGACCTGCACACAGCAGGGGGTTGGAACTGGATGAGCACTGTGCTCCTTTGCAACCGAGGCCATTCTATGGTTCTTGATTTAAAGGGAGGTTTTCAAGAGGTAGAAAGGAGGTTCAAGCTTGTGTGTGCAACTGCACACTTGCTTTGCTGAACAAAATACCTGCACCCAAGGCAGCACTGGGTGGGACTGCTGAGAACGGCCGCCTGGAAGCGTTCCCAAATCACAGCCCTTTCATCCCCCTGCTTTCCCTTTTTCTAGACCCCAGAAGGACCCCGTACTGATGGGGATGGCAGGGAAGTTTACACTGCTCTGGGTTGCTACGGGAATTGACGACCACAATCAAGGGCTGTTCAGGTGAATTAATTTGGGGCAGTGAAAAAGACAAAACCAATGCAGACCTGGCAGGATGGTGCTTCCCATGCTGCTCCTCTTCCTCCTTTTGTCTCCCATATCCAATAGCATCTAAGGAGGAGTAGCAGCAGGAGTCCCTGTTTCTTTTCCCAGTGCATGCTTTGGGACCCATCTCCAGCTCTGGGATTTAATCAGAAGGTTTGGGAGGGATGCAAAGGGAGCTGGCATGGGGGATCTCATTATGTTTCTGTAGGAAAAGGCCCCCGAGGGAGGAGCTGCAATATTGTCTCCAGAGTCTCCTAATTAACTTTGTGTACCACAAAAAGGAGAGCGATAACAAATGGTAACTGATTACAGCTGGGTAACAGTAGGTGATGCTTCTTGCTGCAGTTGCTTGTATGGTCAGAGGGGTGCAGGCATCTTCCAGCACCAGCAGAGATTTCACTGCAAACAAACAAAGACACGGGCAACAAGGAAGCAGAGCTTTGCATCAAGTGGAGTTGGCAGAATTTGTGCCTGCTCAGAGTTTGGTTTCTGAGTGTCTTCTGCCTGAAGGCTTCTGGGGCAGTGTTCACACAGACAGTGAACATGCTGGAGAAATGGGGAAGTTCATGCTGGTGTCAAAATCCAGGCGAGGGTAAAGCAGCACCTGGGTGAGGCTGAAATCTTTTGCTGGTTCCCAGTGTGACCCAGAAAGTGAGCACTGAGCTCAGGCTCAAACATTTGCCCAAGTATTGGCAGAAAGAAGAGCTGGGAAAACAGCTGGCACCCTGATGGATTTTAATTATTAAGAACACCTCATCAGCAGCTCCTGAGCAGCCTCTGGGACAAGAACTGCTCTGGGAATAATTTTCAAATGTGAATAAATTCAGGACAATGGAGCACTGCTTGCAGAAAACGAGGCTGAATTTGGTGAATAAATTATTTGCTATGAATAATTCACTCCGACCTAGTTGTAATTATTCTGCTCTGCTTTAACTCTTCTCTCATCTTCAGAGAGGCTGCCCAAGCCTTCCTCCCTTTGATGGCAAGGGTGGATTTAGGTATTGGGGAAAAATTCTTCACTATGAGTATGGTGGAATAGTTTCTCAGGGAGACTGTGGATGCCCCATCCCTGGAGATGCTCAAGGCCAGGCTGGATGAGCCCTGGGCAGCCTGAGCTGGTGGGAGATGTCCCTGCTCATGGTGGGGTGCTGGAGCAGGCTGCAAGGTCCTTTCTAACCCAGCCACTCTATGAGTCTATGCTTCTATGAACACTGATCCTGCCCTAGCACACGGCCAGAACACTGCATAGAAAAGTCCTGTCACACTGCACAGAATTATAGCAGCAGCACGGGCATTTCCAGCACCCATTTTACAGACCCTCCCTGTGATGCACAGCATGGCCAAGCAATGTGGCAGGTTTTTGCATGGAAGGAGCCCTTCCTGCAGGTCAGTGTGCATAGCTGGGACTTAAAATCATGGAATCATTAAGGCTGGAAAAGTCCACTAAGATCATCCAGCCCAACCACCAACCCCAACATGCCCACTAAACTATGTCCCTCAGTGCCACATCTCCATGTTTCTTGACAACCTCCAAGGATTTGCACTGCTCAGGTGTCCTGCCACGTCTCTGTGCAACAGGCACTCACTTCCCCATGATGTTTCCTCCAGTGGAGGGAGGCCAACAGCCACGAAGCACGCAGATGCCCGCTGAAAATATTGCTACTAGTGAATAGCATTTGGAAACTGAGGACCCCTCACCGTAGACAAGCTGATGATAAGGGGCCTCCAAGTCTCAATAAATGAGAGTAAATGTACCCAAGAGTTCCCAAACTGAGTAAAACCAAGCAACCCCAAACAGCCAATGGGCCAGAGATCCAATCTCAAGGCACTAGAGCAAAGTCAAAGTGGTTTTCTCCCTTTTTTTTTTCCGTTTAACCAGATAGAAGAGATTTTAAAATGCATTTCTTCCCATTTCCCCCACCCTGGCTGCAGGATAGAGCTCTCCTGGTGCCCCAGCACCCCACATGCACAGCCAAGCTCTGGCCAAGGCTGGGCACACAAACCCAAGAGGACAGCTGAGAAAGGGGAACCAGAAAGCAACAGAGAGGAAGGACAACAGCCAACAGGGCTGCAAGGAGGAGAAAACCCAAATGAAACAAACACAGACATACTGAGAAGGGTGACGACTGGGGAAAAGCACACAAAGCCTTTACAAATGGAGAGGACTGGGAAAAATTATACATATGGAAAGGAAAAGGATGGAGGTGTGGGTCAAAAGGGCTTTTGCCAGACAGAAGAGGAAGTTTTAAAAAAATCTATATTGTTTTGTGGAGAGGGAGGGAGCAGAAATGATGCAGAGACCATGGGAAAAGTTCAGAACTGGTCTCGGGTTCATACTGCTGTGGTTTGTGGCTCTGTGATAAGGGACCAAATGAATCAGATTGCCCTCGAACTCAGAAACCTGATGTACAGTTGAGGTTTGGGCTGTTCAGTGGGAACCCCTCTCTGCTTCTGGGTCAGCCACACATAGGCACCTTCTAGAGGTTTCTAAGTAGATGGGTAAAAATTAAACAGCTCTTTGTATATATATACATACATATATCTTAAAAACAAACCATCCGCGTGTACCTAGCTTCTGTGGATTTTCTCTGTAAAGACCAATTAAACCAGAGACCAGCTAACTCAGAAGGAAAGGACAGATTTGGGAAGGCACAGCTGCAGTGCCTGCACCTAGGGAGTTCCTCTGCAGCAGCTGAGAGCCATCACAGAGAGACACAGAGACTCCTCACTATGGAAATCAGCCAAAAGCCTTGTTTAAAATGCTTATTTTAATACGTGTTATTTATATATTCTTTTTTTTCCCTCCCTTCCTGCTAAAGATTTGGAGGGGAAGGGGGGAAAAAGTGACAGCTTTATGCTTCTGGCACACGTGTGTGACCTCAGAGCTGTAACATCTCCAGCTCCCAGCAGTGTCTGCTCCCTGTGAAGCCAACGGGAACTCAGAGGTGCTAAAAGGAGCCACCAATTGCTCTAAAAGCTTTGGGTTTCTGTGCATAATTGGTACCTTTGCAGAAGTGTTTGACTGTGTGGGTATCCATCTGAAATAGCTAGGAGGGCATGAAGGCAGCCGGGTTTCCGGAGTGGATTCACGGTAAGGTGGTGATGAGTTGTTCAAACAGAAGTGCTCCTTTAAACAGCTTCTATTATAGCATCAAACTCGTCAAAAATGAGTATGGAAAAGATAGATAACTCCCTAGTTTTAAAGTTCTGCTCACTTTGCTCTTTATATCCCAACACGCGGAGGAAGGATCTTGCAGAAAGCCATACCTGAACCTCTTCCTGCTGCTATGTGTCCTGGCAGGCCTGGGTTTTTTGGCTTAATTAAAGTTCCAAAACCTGGCTTTCATAAAAGCTCAACAGAAAGAAAAAAAACCCAGCACCTTTGGGAGGGACATTTTGATCTGAATCCACTGCGTCCCACTGCACCAAGCATGGCGAGGGGTGAGAAAGAGGCTTGGTGGTACCCGAATTGAGGTCAACAACAACAAAAAAAAAACCACAACCACCCACAAAACCAACAACCCCGTTGAGTTTCATGGACACTGAGCTGAGCTGTGCAGCTCTGGGTGCTTATGGCAGACCTCTTGCGAAATAAATGGTGAAGTTTGGTGTTGAAAGATCCTGAGGAGCTGGCCCTGTTTGTATCTGAATTACCACCGTGCTCATCAAGGCAGCAGCTGGCAAGCAGCCTTTAGGCTGTAATGCCTTCCTGCGGTTCAATTAAAAAGTTTTTCAGAATCAACAATCAGTTTGAGTGATTTCTTCATCTCACCATCTTAAATGCTCTGCATTAAAATAATTTCTTTCATGAGGGTATTTAAGGAGCCCTTCTGGCGTTGCCTCTGTTTAATAGCTCGCAAACTCCTACAGCACTGCCTACTCTAATTACACCAATCTAATTTAGAGGGAGGAAAACCACCATCGTACTGATGGGCTAGTGAGAGCGGTGGAAAGACAAATGGGGATTGTAGTGGCAGGGTAATTTACTCATTAGCACCCTCCCCAGAGTAGCCTAAATGGAAGCAGAATGAGAGAGAGAGAGAGAGAGAGAAACACTGATAGAAATAGCAGAGACATACTGAAAGACAAACTGACGTGCCACCGTTTCAAAGACCAAAAAAATGGTTACAAAAAAAAAAAAAAGAAAAAGCAGCAGATCCAAAATCCAGTCTGCTCAGGAAGCAGAGAGAGCACTCAAAAGGAGCCCAGGAACAGCACTAATGTCACAGAAATGGCACCCACTGCAGCCACGGCACAAAAAGCTGGTGAGTTGGCAGGAGCTGCTGGGGTGGTCTACCTTATAGGCAACGCGAGCAGGGCATTTCTTTCCAAGGCCTAGAGGTGGGGACATGTGTCTCAGCATCTCATACATGTCTGTGTAACTGATGCGCCCGCTTGGAGTCAGAGGGAGAGAGGCAAAAGCGAGAGGAGACGGAAATCAAAGCAGAGCAGGACGGGGAAAAAGGGAGGCGGGGAAAGGGGAGGGCGACACAACGGAGCAAATGAGGAGGAGAGAGAAAGGGAAAACAGACAAGAAAACAGAGATCCGGTTAATCAGATTTCTCAGGAAAACAAAACCAAAGAAAGAGGTGGGTCAATCAAAGGTTCTCCACTTCCATTCTTGTGGTTTGGGACCCAACATCTCCTCCTCGCCATGGGGAAGCCCCACATCCCCTGCAGCTGGGAATGATTGAGGTCTCATTTGGGAGGGAGGGCTTGGGTTTGGGGGGCAGAGGTGTGCTTCCTCTGCCTGCTCCCCAAACAGGTCCAAGAGGCTGTGATCACCATGCCAGGGACAGCTGGTAGGCAGAGTTATGGGACAGGGGGCTTTCCCTCAGCAAAGGAAGAGCTGGGTTTTCAGGTTAGCCTATAGACTGCCAGAGGAGAAATAGCTATTTCTAATCCTAAAACTCCTAATTTGCTCAGGGGCACAGACGGGGGACTGCTCTAAGTCAAAGGTGCAAGTCTGCAGATCTCCAGCCAGACTGAATGTGGGGTCAGCAAAACCAGAGCCCAGCACCCAACCTGCAGGATGGTGGTGGAAAGTGGACTTGTTTCTGCCTTGCATTGCATGGGCCCCTCTCTCCTCAGCCCAACACCCACTGCCTGTCTTCACCACCGACTGGCTGCCCTGTGTGTCATGGAAGCCCTTCAAGAAGGACAGTTGCAGAAGCAGGCACTGCATGCCAGCCTGCTGCCCTGACACGTGTCTCAAATCCTGCACTGATGCAGGAGTAGGCGGACGAGAGAACTTACCCTGCCAAACCCATCTATTCCTGTCCTTAGTGACTAAAGCATTTAACATACCTCTCCGGCTTCATAGCCCAGAGTTAATCTGAAAGCTGATGAGAGACAGAAATTGTAATTGCAGCCAATGATTTCCCCCTGGCTTCCCTCCTCTGCTCCTGGCAGAGGGCTCGGCGCCTTTGAATTCTTGGCAGTGCCCATCCTCTGCTCTCCACCTTCACTCCCAAGCGTTGCACACCTTCAGGAGGTTCCCTGCTGTCTCTAACATAACTCAGAGACACGAGTCTTGCTGCTCCCAAGGCAACCTCTGGCTCTTGCAGTCGGATGGACTCAAAGCTCATCCCTTCATCTCTCCAACCAGCATGTCCAACCATGGTCAGCCAGCCCATTCCTAAATACTCTTCCAGCTCAGGAAAAGGAAAGGTTCAAACCTGAGTCACTCAACTAGAGGGACAACATTGCAAAGCCCCCCAAGAATCTTGCTGCTGCCCAGAAATCCTGGGATAGTATCTCTCTCTGGCATATAGATGTAAAGTGAGGCACTTAGACACTGCGCTGCTTTTCCCTAACACTTCCCACCCAGCCTCTGCGTGATGCAAGCTCGAGGGTTGGCTGTCTCATAAGGCTGCCTGGCCCCAGCCAGCTGGGTGTGGGAAGGGATGGGGCAGGGATGAGATGCACGGAGGAGCGAGGAGGCAGTCCATCAATCATTCCTTGGTCAGGCAACCAAGTTTTGTTACGTTACAGTTTCCTTTCTGTACCGTTCGCATTTGCACTTGGGGGTAAAAACAAAAAAAAAAGAAATAAAAACAGAACTGAAAATGCTGGAGGGAGTCTCTGAAGTTGCAAACCTTGTATGCCACCCTATGAGGGCACTTCTTTCCTAAGCCCAGGGGTGGAGCAATTACACGTAACAAATTGTACATATCCTTATAATGAATCCGGCAACTGGAAAGAAAACATCAGAAGTTATGACAGCAAAAACGTGGGGAATCAGCCTTTCCCTTGCAAACAGAAGAGGTCGGAAGGACAAACCACGCTGAAAAGCAAAGTTAGCCTGATAACAACTGAGCTTGTGATGAAAAAGTGACTTTAACACAGATGGAGAGAGAGAGAGAGTGCTTCCTGCTGCTCAATAAAAGCTTCATTTTCATATTTCTTTCACAAAACCTTCCGTGTCATAAGGTAGAATTCCCATCCATTGCATTCACTTTCCAGCATCACTGTGTTTCACCTCTCGATGCCTGAGCATCTGCCTACAGAAGACACCTACCCACTGCCCAAGCACTGAGCAGTAAAACCAGAGCATGCAGCACACCAATGGTTTACTTAATGGATTATCACTGGGATTTGGACGAGCAGGTTCAACAGAGCTTGGGAACCTCTACCTCCTGCTGCTATTACCTGCATAGCCTCAGCTTGCTGTGTGGACAGTAAGCAACGTGCTGGAGAGAGAGAAACTGCACCTCAAGGTCCACCAGCACTGGGAAAATGGAGTCTTCATCACCACAAGGTGAAATCAGATGCCCTGAGGCAGCTTCACGGTCGGTCTAATTAACTCACAACAATACTTTCAGCCAATTTGACAGTAGGATTAGATTTCTTAATCTTCTGCACGTAACCAAATCATGTGCGAAAGAACGACCTCTAAAGAAAAATGAGATGATGTGGCTTCACCGTGTTTATTTCTGTACATTATATGAAGAAGGCTGGAATATTTTGGAAACGCTCCTTCAATATTACTGCTTTTTTGAATGTGAAAAGTTAAGATCTATTCAAAACCTTCACAATCAACTCAAAATGCTAATTTAGAAGCAGATCAAATAGGGCCGTGTATGCCTTGGCTGCAGCCTAATCGTAGTTACAAAACGTGCATTGGTTTAACTGAGTCAAGTAGTTTACCCCAATTTTAGAAGGGTTTTGCCAAATCAGTGTGTAGCAAATGCACAGGAGCATTTCCCTGCTTTCTCCATGAGTCAGTGGGACTCCTCCTTGGCTGTCCCTTGTCCAGCAGTCAGGAATAAGGAATGGGAAGGCTGACCAACATTCCCAATAGCTCCAAGGTTTGTGCACTGGGGAGCAGGGCACAAGGGAGGAAATTCTCACTTCATGTATCTCAGACATAAAGGTAATGCTCTTTCTCAGCTCACCCTTCAGTTCAGTGCTATCCTGGTTAACTCGCAGCCTCGGACCTTGTGTGCATTTGCTCTCCTGCTCTCTCCTTTTCTGTGATGCCTGAGGTCTCTGCTACCCCTAAATCCAACACTTTTACCACACTTACCCCCCAAGTGCCACACACATTCACAACAGCTGCTAGCTGCACTTTTTAACTTCACTTTGGAATATATTTTCCAGGAAAATTTTAAAGAAAGTTGGAGGTTATAACAAAGCCAAGGGTTTCTGACACCAGAAATGGGTACGTCAATGCACACACAGTTAAGTCCACACTGTCCACATGAAAATGCTACCTACAGAACAAAAATATTACAAAATTTGCACTTCTTTGCCAGCCAGCATCTTTCATCAAGGGTCTCAAGCTACAGAAGGTGGCAAACACCATCATTTCCTTTTGCATGGGACAGCCAAGGGGGAGACTGTGAGAGAAGGCATGAAACAGTCAAAGATGGAAGCAAAAGCTAACAGCCTGGGACCCTTCCTTCATGCAAATTGTACTATGGTCACTATTTATCATAACAATATACTGGGAGTTGACACTGACAAATTGGCTGGAAGCTTTTTTTCAGCAAGTTTGACCAACTAAGGGAACAAACAGAGAATGGATTCCCAACAGCCCTGCATCCTCAGCTGAAAAGTGGGCGCTTTGTCCTGCTGGGAGCAACGCCTTACGGGACAGTTTGTTCAGCTCCATCCTTGGATCACCACTGGGAGATACAAAGTCCAAGGCCACAACGGAGTTCACCCTAAACGTTCAAAAGATTTGCTCTGGCCATAAACTAGAAATGGATTTGGGACTGCTCTTACGTTGTGCAAATGTCAGCCCCACTGTGAAAACATAAATGATTTCAGTGGAACGATCCACACATGGAAAATGCAGAACATGCACACGTTTCGGGACCAAGGCTTGAGTACCACGCCTCAGCTTCCCTTGCTTTGCACTTCTGTCCCTAGTTGCTCTGCCAACATCAACAGCTCCACACCAAAGCAAAATGGGAGCAAGATTAGGGAAAAGTCAGAATTAGGATCTTTATTTATGGCGTATTTTGCGTTAGCAGCCCTAGAAGCGAATGGGTGAAAGCCCCACGAAACAGAACCTCTGTGCTCAGAGTTAACAGTGCAAGAAAATCCTTAAACTTTCATGGGCAGAAAGCTCCTGAACATATACACATGAATAAAAACTGCACTGGTACTTATGATTTCCCCTCACGGTGTGTGACTTCTCCCATGGATGATAATCAGGCTGTTTTTAAGTCGAAAAGGGGCGCACCCAACTTCTCAGCCTCACTGAGATTTCCCAGTGGCAAGAGATAGGATTGGATTTGCAACAGAAAAACAGTTATTTACTCCCTGCCAAATACCCACAAAGGACATGTCTGTACTACGGAGCACGTGGTAAGGAAAATCTGCTCAGAGATTACAAGCTTCCAGTATGTGCTGTGCCACATACGTGCAGGCTTGGAGCTAGTTAAAAATCACACACAGGTCATTTTGGGTAGATTTACACTTAAAGTTAGTCTAAATCAATTTTAGTGAGATCTTCAAGTGGTTTAATTGCATCCTAGCAGGGAGTTTCAGATCCTGATTATACAAACCCTGCCTGCATCTGTCTCCACTGCAGAGAAACAAAGAAGTGCAAAGGTTTTAAGAGCTGCAGGCAGCTTCCTCACACAGGCAGAGATTCTCTGCAGTGTAACTTGTGGGGAGGAAGATGGAAACAAAATTAGCAGGGCTCGGCAAAAAAAAAGCTTCTCAGCAGGCAAATGCCCAAGCTGCAGATTACTGAGGAACCTGTTGTGACCTGCAACTCAAAGCATCCCAAAATGACAATGACAGTCACCAGCACTATCGTGTGGCTTTACACAGACAAAGGGAATAACAAAATATTCAAGTCAGTCTTGCTCTAGAAGTGATCCCCAGCCCAAATTATCTCTCTGTATTTCTCAATCCCTTCAAAGGCTGCAGCAGTGGCTCCTGGGTCTGCCACAGCACAGAGCTGCTCCTGAGGGGCTGTGCTGCCAAGCGAAGGGGTTTGGCTTCCCCAGCTGTTATCTTAGGGTGGGAAAAAGCAAAGACAAAACAGTAAAACCAAATACTTCATCATCAAGTTGGGAGAAAAGCATTTCCTTCTTTACCACGATCACATATCAGAAACATTTCATAAGAGGCTCACTGAAATCTCAAATGTTTTCAAAGTCAGGCTTACTGCATTTTCTTATTATTATTTCACATGTCTTAGGTTTCAACTGCATGCCCCAAACTTAAATATTATTTATAAGAACAAAATCTCCCTCTACAATGATGCTGTCATCAGAAGGAGGCTTCCAAGACCAAACATAGGGTTCTATGAGTAATGTCCATTTAAAAATCCTGCTTTCAGCAACAGCACCCTCATGTTAACAGGCTTTGCATCACGCCCTGCTGTCTTACAGGTGACTGAAAGCAAAAGATCCATTCTGGGCCCACGGTACTGTATTAGCAGAAGCCAAGCAGTGGAGTTTGTCATCTCCTTTTAAAGGAGAGAGAGCATCTTGAAAACCTGAAGGTTGTGTGTGACCCCATGTCTCTGCACAGGATTTGTGAAGCTGCTCATGTGCTTCTCAGCTAGGATAGGAATGCTGCCTGCTTAAGAAGCAGTGAGGCTTAGCTTCACAAGTCAAGAAAAACTGCCAATGGCAGCACGTTCAGCTTATCTTTGGCCTGAGATGCAGGAACCAACGGCAGCCAAAGCTGCTTTTGGAAAAGCTAAATATCTTTTTTGCTTGGCCATTTGGCCAACATTACTTGAATTTATCCTATTATTTTTTGGCCTTACATGTGCATGGGGTGACAGTGGTTGTGTTTGGCTTTACTGAGTTGTTGGTTTAGGTCTATCTCATGTGTACTGAACGGAAATTCTCTTGTAATGACATCAGATTAATTCATCTCCAATACATAGTGAACTTTAAATGGATCATTTACCTCACACATTACTTCAATTTTTACACATTTTTCTTTCTGGAGTTGCATTCACATTCAGCACAGGCTGTGTGCATAAATACGATACCTGTATGCAACACAAATCCTTTTCTCCACATGCAAGTATAAGAGCACACATACCAGGCAGCTGGGTCATATTCAGCCCAGACACGAACAAACTCATCCAAATGATGGGGCCCAAGGATGGAGGAGTCTCTTGTCAAGTATTCAAAGTTGTCCATGATTACAGCCACAAACAGGTTCAACATCTGCAGAGAAGAAGCAGTTATGAAGTTAGGCAGAATAGAAAAATAAAAGCAGGAAGGTTTAGAGGGTGATGAATTTCTTAGCAAGACACGCGATTCCAACACCGCGGTTGTTGGCCAGGAATTGCCTACATCTCCCCCAGGAGCTGCCTTTTGCTTGCAGGGTAGCAGCCCTGCCCCATCCTCACTGCAAGAGCCAAGTGCTGCAGGTAGATGGGAAGTGAGAGGTATCCTCAGGACTTCTTGCTGGGGTTGTCAGCCCACTCCCCACCTGAAACCCACACCACAGCCTCACATCAGAAAGATTTAGGCTTGCAGGAGGCCACTGTAAAGGTAGCAGATTGGCTGCTTACAGGCCCTTGAGCAGAGAACCTCTGAAATTGTGTGGATTTTAACGCATTGAGAAAAAGATACTATGATGAGCAACGTTTCTTTCCTTCTTACAGGTGCACAGCAAGGCACCTGATTTTCCCATTCTCACAGCAGGGCCACTTCTTTCTGGATATCAGCCCAAACCACGCAACTCCACCCAGCACATCACCACGACGTGTTACTGACAACCTGAGAGAGACCAAAAAGCTCATATGCTCTTCAGAATGAACCTGGCAAAGCCAGGACTGGGTTCTTGGGGCCATGCTGTCCTCCCCGCCCTCTGCAAGTCAGTTCCAGCTCCACCGTGTGCAGCAAGTCTGCATGGCTCTTGACCATGGAGAGTTTGGCAGCATCTCTATCAGCAGTGAGGTTCTGCAGCACAGACTGGTGGAACAGTCCACCTGTCGCTGCTTCACCAACTGGATTGTGCCAGCTCTTCCAGAACCTTGATATCAAAGCAAATCAAGACAAAATAGCTGGAAGAAAAGCCATTCTTCAGCCTGAATATCCTATCTTAGGCTTGTAACAATTCAAACCTTTACAGCTCCCCTGAAAGGCAAGGGCAGGACACACAATAGTCTCCTCTCCCTCATGTTCTGCTAACAGAAGCCAGAGAATGCTTTTAGTATATTAAGAGCTTCCTCTTATTAAAGCCAGAGGAACAGACACAAGGATTTCAATGGGAAAAGATCAAGCCATAGCTGGCAGGATGGAAAAGCAGGAGGGAGGATAGACATGGATGTTCCCGTGTCAGTCAAAGCCCTGATGGGCACAAAGAACATTTCCATCCTTTTTGTCCCTGCTGCTGTGAGTGCTGCTGCTCTGCTCCATGGCAGCAAATAGCAAAGATGAGCTGAAGGCATCCATCCCCAGCTGATCAGCATCTGCCAGCCATTAAAAGAAAACCAGTGGAGGTTTGGGGCTTGTGTAGTTTTCATATCCCCGAGCAATCTGGAAAGAGGAAGAGCTCTTACTATGGGAGTGGGCACAATTCACTGCTGCAGACAAGCACAGTCCACAACAAGCCACCATACCCATACGCTGATGCAGAGACTTCCAAAATAGCCCTGGAAACACCAGCAATGCTACGAGTACCCCACACACATCACAGGACCCCCAGAGAATCAGTAGGTAGTAAAGCCTGTGTGAATTTTCCCCTTGAGCCCCTTGCATTGCTCCCAGCTCCAGCTGTGGCTCGGTACAGTTTTCCCTTATTTACATAAAGCTGCTTCTAAGCTTTCCGTATTTTTTTTAATTTCAATTTATACTTTTCTACAGCATAAATTTAAAGGAGAAAAATGGCGTCAGGCTGGACATCCACAAAGAGCTAGAAACAATATCAAAAAGCAAACACATTACCCAATTTCCCCCCAAATCCATGGTGTAACAACACCCAGCAAACCATAAAAACGTTTCCTCTTGGCAGGGCTGCAGCTCTGTAATGCTTTAATCGCCTGTGGGGAACCACACGTTTCCTTGCAATGAAGTGCTGAGCACATTTGAAGAAATGAGTTCCAGCCCTGGCTGCAGCAGTCCAGCTGCTTGGCATCCAAGCTCCTGGTTTGGGAGTTGGACATCCTCCCTTGGATCTTTTTGGGCTCCCCACTTGCCCTGCCAGCAAATGAGGTTTCAATGGGAGTTCCAGGAGCTCACGCAAAGCAGCGTTCAAAGCTGGATTTCACACAGATGTGCCCCAGCCTTCAGGCCTGCTACTGCATCTCAGGGCTGATGGAAGCCAAAGAGGAAGAGCCATTTTTCTTTCTTTTTTAATTGCTATGATTATTACAAAATAAAGAAGTTTAGGAGCAATGGCACTCTTGAAGATACCCATGAGAACACCTGAGTTTTGGGGAAGGATTTGTACAAGGAAAGATTTAGGCTTTGAAGTATAGAGTACAGTCTGTAAATGGAGCATTAACTTCCAGGAGCTTTCAGGGCTCCATGGTATTTAATATATGCAGAAGAAATAATCCCTGGGATGTCAGAGGGGCAACAGCAGCTGGACACAGGATCTCAGCAGGGTCCATTGAAGTTGGTCTATCAATACACAACATCAAACTGCCACATGTACCTCTTTTTCCTGGGTAAAGGTTTCTGATGATAGCAGGGATTAGCTGCACAAAGCACCAAATCCTACATTTTAAAGCCAAGGCATGAAACTGAAAGCAGGTTTGATAGGCAGCTTTTGGGGGCTTTTTCAGAGCCGTGATTTTTATCTCTTGCTGCTTGAAGTTTAATTGGGTCCCTGTCCCTGGTTTTCTATTCCTCTGTTCCAGCAGCACAGGAAAGATCCAAACCCTGAGAGCAGAAGGCTTTTAATGCACACAAGTGATTAGAAAGACATTGGTATGTATTAAAATCTTAAAGCCAGCCCCTTAGGACAGCCACAGGCACAAACAGAGCACAAAAGCTCCATGTACCTTCATATCTAAGGGTCTCCTGACACTATGTCAGAAGAAAATGCGTTTATTTGGTAAAGAAAACAAAACATGCCATCAAGCAAGATCGGTGCTGCCAGCTGCCTGCTCCAAGCACTTCTCAACCAATGTTATCTCGGCCATTCCCATCCTGCCCTTCCCATCCCCTTCTTCAAAGGGCCACGTTACAAATCAAGACAAAACAGATTAATGCTTAATTCCAAATATTAGATCCCCCGTGGGAAGAAAGATAAAAACAGTGCTTCCCTTTAAACTAATGACTAAATGGTCTCTTTGGGGATTAAAGGGATCTTAGCACCAGGAGGATAAATAGTTTTTAGCAAACATTGTATAAATCACAATTAGGGAGAAGAAGGAAACAAGAGGGTGGGGATGGCTTGGAGCTTCCCCAGCCTTTTAGGGACTGGCTTACCAGGAAGGAGCAGAGGAAGATGAACGACACGAAGTAGAAATAGGCAAAGTCGCTGCCGCATTCGTTCTTGGTGAGGCCAGAGAGCGGGTCGCAGGCCCTGCTGCTCAGGCATGACAGCATGATCTCATGCCAGGCTTCCCCTGTGGCACTCCTGTGGACAAATAGGCAGAAGGGTGTGAGCTCATCCCCACCTGTTAACTAAGGTAATTAGGAGGAGGTGTGCGCCCAGGTGGAGAGAGATATATTTGCATGAAGAGCCCGAGCTGCCAACCTGCTGTCATGAGAAATAAAGGAGAATAATTCTGTCTGATGCATGGAGGTCAAGGAAAAGAAACAGGCTCAGGTAAGCCAAGTTAGGTTGGTTTCAGGGAGGATAAGATCACACTGATTTAAACAAGTCAACAGCAACATGGAAATGTGAATAGATGCAGTTTGCGTTGCCTCCTTTTGAAGTACCTGATGTTTCTGTCCTAGCATTGGCTGCAAGCCCAGCTGAGATGCTGGGAAACAAATGCAGCCTCCTCCCCTGGAATCCCTCATTTCTCTTGTCAGAAGGTGCAGAAGCACCAGGAAAGTCTGACTAGTCACAGGATCCGGCCTCCCAGGTTTTCTCCATCCTTTCCCTTCTCCCATTTTGGGTATGAAAGCTGAAATAGCAGATAGCTGTAACCCAAATAAATCCTAACTTCTCCCTTTCACTGCGGGGATAAAAAGTAATCAAAAGGAAAACACCGGCAGTCCCAGAATGTCCATCCTCAAAAGAAACCAACCCCAGCAACACACATGCACGGATCAGAGGCAGGGGGATCCTCATGTTTGCTGATGTCAGCTTTTCACATAACCTCAGGTTTTCCCCCAGTGATTTCTGCACCGTGCTCAGAGGTGCCTTTAGGGCCACCCCACAGCTTCATGTAGAACCCAGCCCATTGCAGTGCTGCTCACAGCTACACAAAGTGGGTGCAAAGCTTTTCATTCTGCCACTAAGACTTCGGATCTGAAAAATACCCTTACAATCACAAAAGATGTGAAAGCACTTCCAAACACAATGAATTCCAGTGAGCAGCAGCATCGGGCAAAGACCCTGGGCTGAGCCTGGGATACAGGAATCCTTATTTACCCCACAGTAATAGCAATGGGAGGCAAAAATTGGGATACTGAACCAGGCCATAAGCCTCGCTCCTGTGCTCTGGGATGATCTGGTGCTCAGTGCAAACTGAAACAGCTCCTAGATCACTCTGGTTTGTACAGCATAAAATATCAGCAGCATTTAGTCCTTAAACCTCACTCCCTCGTGCAGAAACCTGCTTCCCATCATAGTCCTGCTGCCTCTGCCCACTCCCTCCCACTGTGTGGCATTCAGAGTTTTGGCTGCAGTGGCTATTCTGAGCTGGAGAACTGCATTTCCACTTGGCTTCACAGAAACTATGCAAACCCAGACCTATGCAGGATATCATTACCAGCATCAAGACACAAAGACTTACTTGCTGCCCACCTGCAAGCCTTGTGGCATTCAGTATCAGCTTACCTGAACAGAAGCATCAGGGCTTGAAGGAAGGTACGGAAATTATTGTGCCGATTGATGGAGGTTTCATCATTTAGTGCAATGTTTCCAAATACCTGCCACAGAAAGCAGAAGGGGTTCAGGGCAAATGCAGCCTGCTGTAGAATTACGTGGGAGTCATGAGCATAGGAGAAAAGGTAGGAAAAGGATCTGCCCTCCTTCAAGGCAGAAAGAAGTGTGTTGTGAAGAACAAATGGCGGAAAAAAATCAGATGAATGTTCTTCATCTTCGTGCTGACCTTCTCCAACACCACTTTTCAGCTCCACCGTAGGCCAAGAAAAATTCCTCATCTCTTTCTGGGAGGGATTGGTGCCCAAAGAGCTCATTGGGCACAGCCTTGTGCCCTGCTGTCACCCGCAGAGGTGTCCATCAGTAGGTACCTACAGAGCAGGACCAGGTCTGCAAGCCCATGCTCTCCCACTTTACACGTACACATTTGGCACTAGATTTAAGACTTGGCAGTAAGGATATAAGAGAATGGCCCCTTTTTGCTCTTCCAAATCCCCAACCACCAGGCAGGAGGTGCTGGTTTGCCTCATCCTGAGCCAGGTACTGATGCTGCTGCAGAGGAAACAGCACACCCTGTTCCCATGGGACAAAACCAGGCAAATACAGTCAGTATTAAAGCCAAAATTTTACCTGCATGCCAATAATGGCATAGATGAAGAAGAGCATTGCAATGAGAAGACACACGTAAGGCAAGGCCTGTGGGAAAGGAGAAGAAAGTATTAACATCACTAAACCTGTATTAGCATTTAATTCCTGGGCAGCACTGCGCTCTGTAGCATTTGTCCTTCAGGTAAAGGAGCTGGGAAAAGAATTGGAACAATCCTGGAAGCCTTTGGCTGACGAAGCCCTGGAAGCAGGTATTCATCAATTACAAACCAGACTGTGTTTTCCAAGAGCTCTGTGTGCATTCTTGCAGGCAGATAAGCAGTAACCAGGGAAAACACAGTAAGAAGCTCTGCAGCAGGCACTGGTGCTTCCTATGCATAATTGCACAGGGACAAACCTTAATTTTTAATGACCTTGCTATAAATTCAGTATGAGAAAACACACATAGCCAAGGAACGAGTTCCTGCTTTGAATTAGGCACAGACTGCCCCCCAAGAGGGTAAAAAGGTTCTGAGTTTTCATGAGGAATCAGTGAGTGCTGCAACATAATTATATCGCATGAGCTGAGAATAACAGCTACTTTGCACTCAGGCTAGATGAAGAAGTAATTAATACCTCTTAACTAGCAATAGTTGCAAAGACACAAAGCCCTGCCCTGGGGCTACCATGGGAAGCCTGAAGTCAGGGGAGGGGTTATGCAGCCCACAGCCCAGGATTGATTGGTCTCTGCTGGGAATCTCTGCATATGAACCAAAGAAGAGAGTGCAGCTTAGAGAGTGGACAAAGGATGGGCAGACAGACCCCACTGCAGACAGACCCCACTGCAGACAGACAGACCGCTGTGGCCCATCAGACCAACACCACCAGCCCAGGTGCTGCAGTCTCAGCCTTTGGGAGACATCAGATTCGTGTTCCCCTGTTTGTCTCCCTGTTTGCAGAGGGGCAGAGCAGGACTGCAGGCTATGCCACGTGCAGTTTGTTAGTAAAAGGCACGTCTAGAACAACATACTTTGGTTTTGAATCATTACCAATGCACTAAGGACCTGGGACCTGCCCAAACTACTCAGAGACTGAGACTTGGCTGAGCCCCCCCTGTCTGATCCACCCAGAATTATACAGTCCAAGAACACTGTCCTGGGTGGGAACATTTCATATTCACAGACCCCACATCTCAGCCTCTGGTGGAGGCTCTTGGCTGCAGCAGACCTCATTAGTTACAAGATGGGAGCAGCAGACTCGTTACCTCCTCCACGCTTACAGAAAATGTGACCTAACAAATCTCATTGCTCATGTTCTTTAAGGCACAGCATACTCACATTGCAGCCCCTTCCCATAAGTTATTCGATGGGTGAAAGTGTAATGTAGAAATTGCATGTGAGAGCACCAGTTGGCTCTCTTGGGGTCTCTCATGGGCAGAAAAGTGTAATATAGCACTCTCTCTGATCCTGGCCGTGGGATGACAGCATGGATGCACCTAGTTCTTCTCCAGGCCACTTGTGGAAAGAAGCAATTTCTATGTTCCCATTTTTGCCCTCTTAACACTTTTGCCTCTAAGATTTAGCAGTTCTAAGAGAAACTTCCTGTCAACAAGCTCCAGCACTGAGCTATAGTCATGTCCATGCTCTGAGTGAATTTTGGTAATAGCAACAGCTTGGGTTTCTCTTCTATTCAGTTCCACCAAAACTGAGACACGTGGACAAATTGCTCTGGTTTAACATGTCACCACACCTCTGCTGACTGAGCACGTCTCTTAACCTGCACAACAGTGAGGTCAGACAAATTACCTTAGACCTGGCACTTGCTGCATGCAAACAGCAGCCATGAGGGCCCTCAGCTGTCACCCTGCATTTTCCTCACGCTAAAACAAGAGAAGGCTTTGCCATGAGGATTTTGTGGTGGTCTCAAGGACAACCTAAGCTTTGCACATCAGTGTTCGTGCAAAATGAGCATTAGTGCAATTGTAGTGAGGAGATAGAGAGAAGCGGGGAGGTCTTTGATACCCAAAGGCTGATGCTGGAGAAGTGCAGAGCATCTCACGCCTTCTCCCTGTCTCCCACAGGCCCAACACTCACCTTAAATGACTGCACAAACGTCCAGAGCAAGATGCGGATAGTGTAACCCTGGCGAAGGAGTTTGATAAGTCTTGCTGCCCTGAAGAGCCGCAGGAAGCTGAGGTTGATGAAGTTGTCCTGTGGAAAGTAAAGGTTTTGTGTCCTTCAGAAATTAACGCGATGAGAAACCACAGCCCGCAAAAAAGAAATTAAAATTACCAGCTTCACGATCTAAGCAGCAAATCGGCCACCAGAAAACCTTCCAAAAGAAACATTCGTCAGTGCAGATCACTCCACATGCAGCAAGTATGAGAAAATCCCTCTCCACAAGAGCCCTCCCCTCTATCCTGGGTCAGTGACAGAAAAGAAAATGGCCCTTTCACGCTGTCCATGGATGTCCTGTTTTCTTTGAGTAAGGCAGATTTTCTCCCCTAAAGACTCAGGGAGAGGTAATGGTGCCATATTATCATTTTGTAAAGAATGAGATTGAAGTCTTGGTCAGCTTGCTTTTCTGCCATGAACTGAACTTCAACCAAGACAGCTGCGACAGACTGCGCACGTAGCCTCAACTATAATAGAGAAAGGCATTGTCCAGTGAAGATTAAAGCATCTTTGAAAAATAGGGATGTTTTCTAACCTGGAGATTTAAAGTATTTATATCCAACTTGTGACTGGACAGGCTCATCAAGGAGAAATGGCACCAGCAAGACTTTGGAAGATGGATCACTGGTAGCAAATTGGTTGGGGAGGTCGAGTGTACAGCAGCAGGCAGGTGCCTTAGGAGCCTGCTGATTTTCCCATTACTATTAAATGTGCTTTCACAGGTGGATCAAAGAACTGCTGGAGATGGGGTCTGATTTCCATGCGTTCTGTGGGATTCTTCCCACCCCACACCCCCATCTTTTCTTTCCTTTATGGAAAAGAGGTCGCTTGCCCCAGCGAGCTAATCTAGAGAGGGTTCTTTCCAAAACAAAACATGCAAAAGCCAGATCCCTCTTGCCCTCCTGTTTTAAGGAGATGAAAAATATCCCCGCACTCTGTACCTATTCCAATTCACTTGTTTGTGAATCTCTGATCGCAGCCACTCATTTGACTGAGTTAACTAAAGAGAGAAAACAGCTCGCTTTCAACTGTCAAGCAGTGGAGGGGAAGACACCATCATAAGGAGCTTTTATTGGCAAAGATGAGCAAAGCCAGTCTTTCTCTCATATCATCATTTTAGCAGGAGACACCCAGTCATATTAAAGTGACCCACGTTTCTTGCTCATTTGGTGACAGAGCTCACGCTGAATTTGAGGGGGGGCTTGTTGGATCTATTCAATTATTTAAATGCCAGCTCAGTTTTGGGGCCATTAGCATCGCATTCCACCAATCCCATCAAAGAGTTCAAGAAATCATGCATGCACTTGGTTTCTCTCATGTTAAAAAGGCAAGCAGCTCAGAGTTAGGCACAGACCATATATCAGACTTAATCCTCAAATAAAGAGAAAAGAGTAAATCACAGGTATGTTCCATGAAAGAGCAGACAACACCGAGCTCATTCAAGTCAGCAACAGAAAGCAGCTCTGGCAGGCAAAACACAAGCAAGGATTCCCCTGGGTTGGTCAAGGTTGGTAGAACAGGTGCTAAAATCCAGCACCTGCCTCTTAGCATCAGCATCTGTTTTATTTTTATTGCATTGGTTACAGTCCCTTCACAACATACTGGTTGAACTCACCTTGGGTAAGAGCCAGGGACAGAGTGTGGCTGCGAGACTGAGGTGCCACCAGCAGCCTGGTCCTTACTGTCCTGATGGGTTTGCATCCAGACCAGGGCTAAGGCTTAACCCAGAGCCCACTGCAGTCCCAGGAATTTTTCCCACCTGCAGGAACTGGAGGGCCTTATGGGCCTTATGGGATCCCATTCCTGGCGCTATTTCAAGTCAGGCAAATCATAGAGCATCACTGGAGCCTGATCTTCCCCACCACAAGTCTAAGGCTTCTCCAAGGAGCATGCACACAGGCAGCATCTGCAGGATCTGGCTCTCTGTGTTTTGCTGCCTTACTTCCTTCTTCCCACATTAACATAGTTTATCACCAAAGCTTTACTCTGCTCAGATTTTGCTCCAATCTCCTATCATGATTAGCATGATGCCCCACGCCTGCTTTGGTCACACTTCACACAGGACATCCCTGTGCCAACTGACACTTTCTACATGACAGTTTTTTTTGAGCAGTACAAAATGGGGGCTTCAAAACTGTCTATGCACGTCTACAGATTTCCACTGCTTTTTGTTCTCCCAGCTTCAAATCTTCCCTTTTTGATTCAAGCACTGCCATTTTTCTAAAGAGCAACGAAAGCTTCAGCTCCACAGGGAAACCTTTGCAACCCAGGAAAATCCAGCATCACTCGTGTGCACAGAACTTGCAAAGAGGCAAAATCACACAGGCCTGTGACAGGCAGGAGGGCTTCACAAGTAACCCTCAGCACACCGCATAGAAAACCCATCCTTGGGCTGCTCAGCCCTCCAGGCACTATCAGAATGGCATGCAGTTAAAGGGGAAACTCCACATTGCGATATTTCTTGTGGATAGCAGTGTTTTGCACGGATTCCCCACCCGTTTTGCAACCCCTGTGCAGCAAGTGGCAAACACATGATTGTCCTCTGGATCACCAGGGTCTGTCTTCCCAGAGCTTTGTTTGTGTTTCTGTTGCACAGATGCTAAAGGCCGCTGGGTGCTCGCGTGAGGCATCGCGGTTCAATGATTCTGTGATCCATCTGAGGACCAGCCAACTGTGCTTGAAATACGTTTCCTTCTGGCCTGTTGCTATTACCCCAAAAGAGGAGGCGGATGGGGCTCTGGCGCAGAGGGCATCAAGAGACCCACGTGGGTCTGCAATGCCTCCCCAGAGCTCACTGAAAGCAGGAGAAAAGGAGAGAGTGGGGAGAAGAGCCATCATAGGGACAGAACTGGCCTTGACTGCTGCCCAGCCATGTGCAGACAGCTCCTTTATCCTTTCTTAGGGTGTTTTCCACAGCAAAAAGCAGAAAAAAAAAAGCTGGGCAGGGTGTACAGCCATTGCCTAGATCTATTTCTCCAGCATCTCCTGGATTGTTTTTCTCCTTGATACAGGATCTGTGCTTGCTGTCCAGAGAAATGCAGAAGGGGCTTTGCAGCAAAGCACCGCCTCAGCAGATTTATTCTTTTGGATTTTTAAACCTGAGGTGGGAATGTGTTTGTCATGTTACAGCTGGAGGATTTAGCAGAGGGGGTTTCTCAATGCTGTCTCACAGCAATGAACTCAGCAGAAGCTGGGCTGGTCATCCCCACATGTATGGCTGCCCAGCTGAGGGACACGACACAAAACAGCATCGTGGATCCTCATTTTTCTGTCGGCAGAACAAGAAGCTCACCCCAAGTGGCCAAGCCACCACAGAGGCATGGAAAGGGGAATCCAATCAGCCCAAGAACTCAGGAAAATTTGGCAGTTCTCACACGGTTGCAAGAATTAATCTGTGCTGCTAAGGAACAGCAGCAGCTCAGCACTGCAAAAATGGAACCCTTGCCTTGGACAGCAAGCGATAGAAGGAGCCTGGATCTGGGCACACGATCACAGACGCTGCAATCTAATGACTGCAGGATGAACGTTTAAATCTTTAATTCGCAACACCGGCATGCCAAAATTTGGCATTTCCATTTCTCAGATGGAGAAATGGAGGCAAGTTGATTTTTCTAGTATATTATCATGTGAGCAAGCAGATGTCAGAGCAGTTCTCAGTGCTGCTTGGGCCAAGGGAGCCGAAGTTTAATCTCCTAGAGCTGTCCTCACAGCTCCCACATATCAGCAGTGATTCCAGCCCATGGTACAGTGCAAACCTCTAACTCACACAGCTCTGTACCTGTGTTTGCTGTTCACTAGCAAAAAGTTTCCTCCTGGAACCTCTCTTATGCAAGCACCGAGGCTGCTGCAGGTTGTCAGAAAGACTCACACTCATTGCTTTGTGAGCAGCAAATGTGCAACAGAAAGACCAGATGTAAGTTGAAGTAGATCTGAGAGCAGCTGCAAAGCAACTGAGACTTTTTGGTAAGTCATGGCCTCATTTATGTTATTCTTAATCGTGGCCAAGATAATTAACAATAGAATAATATTATTTTTAAGAATATTTCCAAACACAAAGCCTCCTATTTCCAAAGACACCTCTGGAATCAGGCACTGTAATTCCTAATGGGATCTGGTGCCCAGTACTTCTTTTCACAGAGTGGCTTCTGCAATTCACATGAGATGTTTGCTCCTGCATCCAGGCACTCATTGCCTGCTGCAGTGGCACCATGCTTCTATATGCCAGTACCACAGAGTTTTCAAAGTTGAATAAAAAACAATCTTTCCCACAGTTTCTCCTGATTCGAGAGAAGCAATTCCATAACAGCTTTAATAATTTTCTTTTTTTTGTGCCTTACAATAACCACAGGCTTAGAAATACTTGCAAGGCCGTCCTCTCTGACATTCTACTCAATGCATCTCATCCAAAGGAAAATAACGACAGCTTCTGAGAAATGAATTTGGTGCCACTCTACAAACGGAAGGCTTTCCCACCCAGGCCATCCAGAAGCATCCTTTCCTCTCACCCTCATCTGATTTTCCATGAAAATAAAGCAAGTGGAAGTCTCCCCTTTATCAGTGTTGGGTGTAACGAACAGAGGAGAACGGGCTATTGGTAACTGCATTTGCCTCACGTCACCAATTAGCCAAGGGGAAGAAGATGCAGAACAGAAGCCAGTTTTGAGGCACGCTGCAGTGAGGCTTTTTCACCAGTGCAATCGGAAATCTCATCAAAACAAATCAAATCAAAGAAAAACGAGAGAAAATAAAAGCAGAGAATTTAAAGAATTGTTTAAATTCAATGAAACCAACCGTGTCCTATATGTGATGTTTTCATGGATGGATATTGGCAAGATTATTTACAAATTATTATTTTTTTTTTGAGCAGCAGGTGCACAACATACAGACGGAGACATGGTTTTCGCATTGTATGTTGATTGGATGGCGTGATTCAGCAGGTAGATAAGGAAAATAAAGGACAAAACAGGAAACAAAAGAGAAAATGAGTAATCAGGACAAGCAAAAAAGGAAACTCTGAAAATTTCACTGGAAAAAAACTGTCAGGCTTTTGGGGGGTGTTATCTTTATGGTAATTATATAAATTAAAGAATGCTTCAAACCAAAAGAGGTTCTGAGATCCTAAAGGTAACACAGACAGTGCATTCGTTATTTGCATTTCTTTCTGTAATGCAAATCAGGAGACACTTCACAAACACTTCTCACGACGCTTTTTGTATTTCCAGGCACAGAAATAGATGTCAGTTTGCCATACACCCCTTGGGGCCAGCCGTGGCCACAAGGAAGAGCTTCTCCTTAATGCCACCTCTTTGCTGTTTTACTTCAGTTACTGAGAGGGCTAAAAAACTGACATGCATGTTTTTGCCTAAGGAAATAAAAAAATTGTATGTATATTCCACTGCATTCACAAAGTAAATTAAGTATGACAAGGTTACCAAAGTAAAACAAAGCAATTAGTCAATACATTTCTTTTCCTTCTATCTTTAGTTTTCAGTGGATCAAAGTACCGACGTAGCAAGGCTGGTGGAAGCCAAGTCTCTCAAGGTGAGACCGTCCAGGTGAGCAGGGTCAGTTCCTTCGGAGGACACTTACAGTTGGAAAAATACACATCATCATGTAGGAAATCGGTGCTCCTGCATCTATTTGCTAGCCTGACGCCAAAATCAAGCGAAAGATGTTCCTGTCCATGGCAAGGGGGTGGGACTAGATGATCTCCAGAGGTCTCTTCCAATCCAAACCATTCTGTGGATTCGCCACAAGGATGGCGAAGCGCTGTTTATTTTGGGAATAGATCCACGTAACAGGTGGCATCAACGTTCTGACCATCACCTGGGCTTCCCTCAGTCTGAGAAACCTTGAGATGTAAACGGACAACTGCAGGGTGAACACATGGGGCAGGGCTGCCTGCCACCCCAATACCTGCACGGCCGCCTATCAGGCAAGGAGAGAAGAGAGCGTCTCGCGGTGGCTCTGGGTCGTGGCCAGTAAAGACCTGATCACTCTGGTGACTCTCAGCTCTGGGACACAGCACAGAGCTGCTGTGTTTCCAAGCAGCAAAAAATTGTGCTCGTGCTTCCCAGGCGGCTCTGGGGCACCTTGGGCTTCCCAAAATGCCACAGGTCAGAGCTGCACATCCTGTTAATTACTGTGGGACCTGAGCAGCACTGCCTCATCTTTCTGTTCATCTTCCAGACTGGGTCCCATCAGCATCCTTGGGCCTGGGGGTGGAGGAAGGGTGGCATTGGAGGGCCTGATATAGTTCTACCTATAATATGTGCCCCTGGATGAGGCAAGCACTCTGTGACAATCAGCCTGAAAGCTGCAATTATTTGCTGCCATTAACAGTTGTGTTATAAACATAATCTTTGGGGCACTGCTGCAAGTTCTCACTTGAATAGTTCAGCAGCAATTCAGTGCTTCAATGTCACCTTTAAGCTAAATAAGTTCCTTCCTCATACCTCTTCAGTACGCTGCTCACGATGCATTTGAACTCCCAGCCCATTGCCCTGGCTGAGGCTCAGAGATGGATGCACACAGCTTAAAAAATAGCACACTGGTGGCTACAGCAGTTATTCAGTGCAGGTGGGTGTGCTGCTGCAGACAAGCATGGGCTGGGGACAGATCAGAGAAGCACCTTATGAAAGAAGTTTTGAGAAACAAGTCTAGCAAGAAGGCAGGGGAACCTCCAGGTACTCTGTGGGGGGAAGCACGTGGGCAGGAGACACATTGGCTGTGCAGAAATGCTGAAGAAAGGCAAGACAGAGAGAGAGCAGAGCTCTAATTAGAACCTCTAATTAACTGAGAGGCAGCACTGAGAGGTAAGGGGCTGGAAAGGCAGTAGGGTTTATATGAAAGATGTTGTGAACAGCTACATGTTGGATGCTCTGGTGAACTCCATCATGTAGTCCTCCCCAAGGCCGGCTTGGTGGACATAATGAGTCAAACTAAGACTCTCAATTATCACGTGGGAGGATAAGAGAAACGTGTATAGATGCTGGTGAGCCTAACTATTGGATTTTGCTGTTTCAGAGATAATTCCTATTCCTCTTAGAGGCATCCCTGAATCACTGCAGTCCTTGATGCTGAGAACCAGAGAAACCAGCACAGAGCAGAAGATGATGCAGCTGCTCCAGCACCACCAAGACTGCATCAGTGACGCCCACATGGGGATTTGGGAGCACGTTTACCCTCTAGCCTGAAGACCAGGAGAAGATAGGGAACTTCTATGCACTAGTTCTTATTCCTTCTCTTCCCAAAGGAGCATTTACCAAATTCTGAGACCATTGCCTCAAGTTCACTGTGCTGCTCTTCCCTCCTGGTAACTTCAGCCAAAAGATGGTTTGAAAGGAAATATTAATCTCTGTGGCTGACGTGCAAGATTTTCAAACCAAAGCAAAGGTTTGGTTCCCATCAGGAGACCATCAGAGCAAGTTCCACTGCAGAAAGAATGCAGGCAGGCATTCAGTGCCTGCCCACAGCACTGCAAATCTTCCAAGCTCTCAGAGGTGGCTCGATCTAAATGATTCTACCCTGTGTACTAAGAACAAAAGGTAATGCAAAAGTTTATGATATTTGTCAACTGTTCAATGAATACCATTTGTAAAGGGAGCAAAAGGCTTTATTTTTCCTGTGTTTTCTGTACCAGTGTTGTTAGATAATAGTATATTTTGTCAGAAACAGTAATATGGTCTTCAGCACCAGCTGAATGTCCTGAAAAGAAGCCTGGCGACCATAGTACTTAGCACACACAAAACAGGTTCTATAAGCAAAACTCAGGAACTGAGAAGAAAAAAGTGTGGTAAAATTCAAATCCATTACATACAGAGATAGCATCATCAACTAAAGCATGCATTGGGAGAGGAAAGGAGCACATTTTTAAACTGGATAACATCAGATTGCCAAAGCTTCTGTCAGTTATTTGCTGCCCTTATGGAAAAATCCTCTGGAATTTAATGGCAAGTTTGTGCACTTAATGTAATCTCCAGGACTCTTGAGCAGGGAGACTGAGGACATGGGGATGGGTGGCCAACGAATACTATGGTACAGTGACATCTTATTTTTATTTTTTTATTGGCAATTGCCCTGCAGAACTTTTGTGTGAGGAACAGAAACCAAAGTTCCCCCAGGGCAGACCGTGCAGGCTGATGAGCTTCTGGCTGGGCTTTTGTTCCTGTGCTCAGTCCTCTTATCTCCTTCTCCCTGCTCAATACGGGCTGGGATCCCCAGAAAACAGACATGATATTAGGGAATGCCCTGCAAGGCATCTCACTCTACAAGCCAGCAGCTTTCATTAGACTCCTTCTGACATTGTCCCTCTATTAAATTCAACAGGATTTTTCCATTAATAGGCAAAAACAGCTCGGGGTCAGAGCCTTTTGCTGAATGAGAAGGAGAGCCTGCTTCCTGACAGTCATCAGCACCATCAATCTCATCAGAGCTTTTGGCATGAAAGTCTTTGGGCCAGACAGCATCTCTGTGCAGAGAGCAGAGCTGATGGAAGCAGGCTGCCAGGTCACCCAAGGACTTCAGCTACCGTAAGGCTGGTAGGGAGAAGGTGCAGTGTCCTGACAGGGTACAGCTTTGTGGGTAAATGAAGAATATTGAGCAAACTGTACTTACCGCAATCTCTGTTACTAAAATATCAGTAATACTTCCCAACACTGTTACAAAATCAAAGACATTCCAGGCATCTCGGAAATAATTCTGTCAAATGAGAACACAAGGGGATAGGGAGATACAGGGGTTATCATCTCTTTGCAAGACAATTTCTTTGGTTGTTTGCTTGCTTTTAAATCATGAAATACAAGCGTTTTAAGTGGAGAGGGAACAGCTGAAAGCAAATGAGGAGGGCACATACCAGCACACCAAAGGCAATGATCTTCAGCACACACTCCATTGAAAACATGGATGTAAAGACAATATTCAGGCATTTCAACATTTCTTCGTATGCTTCTGGAGCATCATAGAACTAAATGAGGATGGAAGAAAGGCTGTTACTGGAAATCATTTATGATGGCAGAGTAAAACCTTCCCACCTGACTCAACTGACTGCAAGGAGTTAGAGCATCCCCAAGGAATGAACCCACTTTATGCAGGCTGAACCAGGAGCTGCAGAACTCCAGAGCCTAGTTCCCATTCACCGTGCCTCATCACAACCAAACCACCCCCCTCTGGGGATGGATGCAATCCCACAAGGCCTCTAAAAATCGTGAGGAAGATGAGGAAGAAGTGATAGTTGACCCTGCCAACCCACTCAGCTCTCGTGTTGCGAGCACAAAACCTCTACAGCAAACACCACGTTTTCTAGACCATCACTGCAAAGATTCAGTAACAGCTCACTAACCTTCATCATGAGAACAATAGTATTGAGTGCAATCATGACCATGATAAAATACTCAAAGGGAGGGGACACCACGAATTTCCACATCTTGTACTGAAATGACTGCTTGTTCTGAGGCATGTAGCGGGTCAGCGGCTTGGCGCTTATGGCGAAGTCAATGCAGGCCCTCTACAAAACAAAAACGGGGTGAAAAGAATACAAAAAAGGGCTGGCAGTTCAATCAGTCAGAGTATTGCTGGCAGTAGAGCATTTACTGGAGGATGGTGCCTTTAAGCATTTCTTACACGTGATGCAAGTAGTTGATTACTACTGTAAAATGCAGCCCATCATCCCCACATTGTGGTCACTTCTCAACCCTGATGGATCTACTAAACCCCCCCAGCCCCCCACAACCTAGGAGATGGCCTTGCATCACTCAGCAGGTCCCAGTCCCTTACTGCTTAAAGAAATGAGTTTTGAATTCATGGGCTCACTTCAGAAAGCACTTGGCTAATTCCTCCTGATGAAGAACTCCAGAAAATTGAGGGTTAATGAAGATGCTATTTGTGTTTTTAAAAAGTATTATGAAGCTCAATTCTGTTCTAGCACACAACCAGGTAATAACTGCTTTGAAAAGCGAACCAAACTCAACCAACAAATTACCCAACAAATATTAATGGGTGAACCCTCAAAGATATCTCTAGTTGAAAATTTCTACAAGAAGGAAAGTGCATTAAAATGGTGTCAATTCTGAAACAATTTCTCATGCATGATCGAGATAAAAATTCAAAACCTCAAAGTCTCTCATACCGAAAATCTCAGCTGGAAAAAAAAGTGAGTAAATCATGTCTAAATATTCCACTTTATTTTGGACTTTTTGTTCAAACACACATACAGTTGAAACACTGTAGAATTGATTAAAAGCAATCTCTTTTAATCAAAAATTAGGTTCCAGTTTCACAGTTTTTGAAGGAAAAGAGGGTTGGGTTTTTTTGGAACTGCAGGCAGACCAGACAAAGGATTTTACAAATACTAAAATTCCACCTGGGTTCGTGAAGAAACTGGATACCCTCGTGGAAGAACAATACAGAGCTGCTGCTAACTACAGCGAGACCACATCTAACAAGGCTCCTTTGTTGGAAGCAGTGCTGCTTGCTAGAGGGCAGAAGGAAAGCATTGCACGTGCTTGCGCTATTCTCACGCTCCTCCTAAGACATCGTTTGGCTGCTGCAGGAGGACTCTGTCTGAGCCAAGCAAAAACAGGCTGGTAAGGGCAACTTTCCACTGGGGAGCAGCAGCAACTTTCCCTTTGATTTCTGATGAGCAGCCACTGAAATGCCAAACACTTTTGCACATACACGCTTGAGCTCAGAATCGGCACCATCTCCACTTTGCAGCAGAGGTGTGATCCACAGGGATACGGACACTGCCTAGCTAAAGTGCAGCATTGGGGGACTGTCCCTGGTTTTGTTTTTATGCAAAAACCTGTTAGAGAAAGTCTGTAAGGGGACTGATGTCTATAGCCTCTAAGCCTTGCATTCAGCACATGACACCACATGTTCTAAAGCCCCTCCTGGTGCAGCAGGGATGAAGAGATTGTCCCCTCAGCATCAAAGTGCTGTGAATCCCCAAGGTGCCACCTCCCGCAGCTGCTCAATCCAGAAGATGTGGGTACCTCATTTTTCTCTAGGCTGCATTCTGACATCACTTTATCTCCTTGCTCTTGGAAGGTGATTATGATTAACGCCACAAAGATGTTCACAAAGAAAAAAGGGAAGACAACAAAATACACCACGTAAAAGATAGACATTTCCATTCGGTAGCCAGGGCTGGGACCCTGTTCCTCGTAGGTAGCATCCACTGAGTGCTTCAGCACACTGCAAGCAAGCGCAAAGAGAGAAGAAAAGTCAATGAAATCACTGTGAAGCACCAATGATACTGTGATAGTCATTCACCGGCCTTCACTTGCATGGAGGGTTTTCCACATATGCTCAGGTCAAACCTGTTTCCATCACTGTGATTAGGAAGAAGTTTTCCTTGAGGATATTTTTAGGGAAACCCTCTCTGTTTCCAACATTCTGATGAATGGTGGCAATTTACTATGCACAGATCCACATATCCACCCTAAGCAAGGAAAGGGAGAGGATATAGATAGATCTGGCTTCTCTTCTGCTCTGGTCAATATGAATGAAACAAGAGTGGAAAAAAAGGTATTGATGGCCTTCGAGTACCCAGGGGAAGGTAAGGGTTTGAAGAGTTGAGACTGATGCTGGTTTAATCTTTATTTTACTGAATAGCTGAATGTGGAGGACAGCAAAGTCTGGCCACATAGAGATCCCTAATCATGAGTCTGTGTGTCCCAGCAGAAATGTCTGCCAAAATAAAGTCATATCTTGAACAATACATACAGTCTGGGGGCTTAAATATCCAATACATGCTCAGCTTGAGCGCAATACTTTTCCCCCTCCTTTTCTTACATCTCCATGATAAATTGTGCACCTAAGGAAGGCGTGCATGTCCAAGAAAAAAATGCCTAAGCATCAGTGTACTGAGAACGCTTCTCACTGACTCATTCTATATTCATGCCAGGGAAAGTTAAATCTTGGCTGACTATTCTTCTTTCCCACACCACTTGTTCTGTACATGTCCCTGAGCCACAGAACGCTGCTGCTACCTCTGACCAAAAGCTGGTGGTCCCTGCCTGCCCCATGTACTCACGTTGGCCACCCTTCTCCTGTGGAGACAGTGAAAAGTGTCAGCAGAGCCCACAGCACGTTGTCGTAATGGAACTCGTATTTTTTCCATTCTCTGGGCTGCGCCTCCACCTCATTTTTTTCATAGTCAAGGTACTGACCCCTAGGAACAACAGAGATTCAGATCAAATGGGAGAATTAAACCAAATCAGTCGTGCTATAACTCAGTGAGAGCATTGGAAAGTCCTGGTAACAGACTCCAGCCACACAGAGCCAAGAAACAGCCCCAACATTTGTAGAATCCCAGAATGGTTTGGGTTGGAAGGGACCTTAAAGCCCTTCTATTTCCAACCTCTGCCATGAGAAGGGACACCTCCCACTTGGTCAAGTTGTTAAAACGTAGGTAATATAAGTAAAGGCTAAAGGAGCCTTAGGACCGAGCCTGAGCTTTAAGAAGGAAACAAACATCTACAGTGCATTGGGCAAAGCTGGCAGCTAACAGCATGGTGACCCCCAAAATGTCTGACCTCACAGAAAACTGTGCTGACTGATGGGGAGCAGTCTTTGTTTCCTACTTGAAAGTTGTATCTAACTTTTGGTCCTGATTTGAGTGTCAGAGGTTCAGACTCAACATCTGGAGAGTTCTCCTCCACCCTTAATTCTTCTATAATTGCAACTTTTCTGCAATGCATCCGCTTTGCTGCAAAGAAGAGCTGCATGGAGAGCCCTATGGTATGTGGATGGCAGCAGAGAGTGATGCAGGTGAGCAGAAAGAGACAGTGCTTGTCTTGGGGGCCAAGGAAAACATCCATAGGGGGAGCAAGCACCTCCACAGTCTGCTGCAAAGGATAAAGTATGATAGAGCTTTTATAACAGTCAAATGCAGTCCCTTTTCCTAGCTAACTGGAGATCTTTAACTCTCTACTGATTCTCTTTTGATTATTTATTCATCCTGTTCTCTTAATTTGTGCAAGCTCTGAGGATAAAGGCAGCAGGTAGAAAGAGTAATCATGCCACCCCTTCCAAACCACTTCTGTGCTTTATCTTGAACTCATACCCAGTCCTAAATGGAAGAAGGAACCTTTTCCCCTAAACCATTAGCCACTTGAGTAATCACTTGCTAGCTAAGAGTAGGAATGGAGAAGTCATATAAAAAAAGCAAAAGGGAAAATTCACCTCTAAGAAGTATCTCTCCTTACAGGAGCCCTCACCGAGCCCAAGTGATGCAGCTCCTGGACAGCCATGGGAACCCACAGCCCCTGCTCCTGCCATACCTGCAATCCTTCTCCAGCTCTTTCGACTCGTCGGTGCAATAGAAGAATCTGCCTTTGAAGAGCTGCACAGCAATGACAGCAAAGATGAACATGAAGAGCATATAAACAATGAGGATGTTGAGGACGTTCTTCAGGGAATTCACCACGCAGTCAAAGACAGCCTGGGGACAAGAAGACAACGAGGTCAAGGGGCCAGAAGAAAGGCAAAGTGCATTACCCTGGCATCTGGCATTGGCCCACATGTGAGAGCAGTTACTCAACAGCTAAACCCGTGTGTGCTTTCATTGGCTTGCACACCAACTGTTTGGTAGGAGAAAACATTGGCTCCCAACAACTCCTGCTCGCTTGATGGGTTTGGCGTGCCACTAAGTTGGGGTTTTTTTTGGTGCTGCCCACAAAATCAAGAAATACCAGCCCTAAGCTAACATTCCCATGGCAAATCATGAAATGAAAAACGACCATCCATAATGGATTGGGAAAAAACTCATGAAATCTGCCACTCATTGGCCGTTATTTGAACTGTTTGAATAATAAGAAAAACACACTGGATGCAAAACAACCAAATCCTCTGAACAGCAGTGAAGTGTCTATCAAAATTAAGTATGAATAACCTAGTGAGCATGTGTCACTTCTGAACTCTGTGAATAACTTCTCATACATTCATTTTTTGGTTATTAGTCACCGATTCATTGTTACAAGTGATTTGCAACTTAATTTGAGTCTGAGGAGTTTGTCATAATTATAGAAATGGAGCTGTGCTGCTGCCTGAGCACAGGGCTTGTACTATGCTGTTTCTGTTTCTCTGAATGGAAGTGAATAATTCCCAGAATTATGCTCCTAATGCAACACAGAAACCCAAAATTAAAACACTGGAAGTATCTCTAATCACTCTATTAATCTTGCTGATTGTTGTCTACAAGATCTCATCCAGGAAAAAAATGGAAAAGAGTTTTGAAGACAAGCCATGTGAATCTGACTTCTGCTTCACAAAGATTTCTGAATACTTCTTTAGAAATGGGAAAATTACTCTGTAAAATGACTTGAAAGTAAGGAAGTCATTCAACAGAAAGCGAACGCTTTGCAATCTGCAGTAAGACAGAGCTGCTCTTGACTGCTGCATGACCCAAGCATTGTGCATTTCAGATTTCCAAACAAATAAAGATCATTTTCTACATTGTTCACCACCACGCTTCCTTATCTTGGGAGGTAAATTTAGTGCACATGAAAATGCATGAAATTAAAATTATTTAGGCATGAATTGCGGGTAAGGACAAAGGCAAATCTGTATAATAAGTAACTCTAATTTTTATGTAGCACTATGTGAAAACAGGAATCGTCAGACGTTGTTTCACCACTGCAAAAGCATCCTTCATTTCTCCCCCATCTCTCAGAGAAAACAGCCTGAAAGCACTAATGAGACGTGAAGACGTTCTATAATAGATATTCCAGAATTCCAAAATGCAGAAATGATTAAATTTTGTAACAGCTTCCACTGTCCTTCCAGGGCTGGCTCCATCTCAAAGCATTCTTCAGATGGTGCTGAATAAGTAACCACCAGACATTACGTTTATTTCACTTTGCAGCTCAGCGTTCTGGAGATGAAAGGGTACAGCTATAAAACCCCACACCATGCATTCTTTAATAGAAGAGATGAACAGATTAGAACTCCTCCCACAGCAATGCCATTTCTCTTCAGATAGACTACGGAAAACCTATTTTCTGGTGCATCATTTCTAGGAGCATCACATGTGCAAACAGTAATTTAATTTACGTGCAACTTTTTTTTGCCTTTCTTTTTTTAGAAGTTTGATTTTTATGTGGCTTCACAATAATTCACAAACTGCGTCCAATGTTTGCAAAATTAACAAGTGTCTGACATTTGCCAAACATCTGCATGGCTATTTTTGTAGATCTGGCAAGGAGACGAATTGCAACAAAATAAAAGAAACAAAATTAGCTCGGATGAAGTTAACTCCATCAGCTTCCACTCAGATCTGCCGCAGACCTCCAGACAAAGCAAGCTTTGGGGTTGTTTGCCCTCTAACCTTTAGTTTTGGCAGCCGTTTTATGGTCTTCAGTGGTCGGAGGACCCGCAGAACCCGCAGCGACTTGATCGTGTTGATGTCCTTGCCTTTGGTTCCTCTGCAAGGTATGAAAGGCACAAGAACAACAGAGGGAACAGTTTGGTCCTCAGGGCATTAGCAAACCACCCAGTGCTACCCAGGGGTGTCACGTTTTGGTGCCATCCTCCCCTTGGATGCAGAGGGCTGCAGGCGACCGCTCACTTGTGATGTGTGGAGGGAAGCTGGGGCAGCACATGGACACTGCCAGACTCAGCCTCCAGTGCTCTCCAGCACTTCCCACCTTACTTCTAAGCGTCCCCAACGAACCAGTGGCCTTCCTACCCCAGCTCTCCTCTGGCAGCGCTCACAGCTGGGCAGCACATATGGGCTGATGCCATTGGGAGGCTCACTTCAAAAGTGAGAAGGTCACACTGGCTGCTCACCCTGCCCCAGGCAGCTTGGGAAGACAGGAGGACATTTCTGTGTGCTCCTGGTACCTCTCTAGCAGGGAAGCTGCGTTGGGACCAGCAGGCAGTGATCAGTGGAGACTCTTTGGTGAGAGGCAGTGCTGTGCTCAGGACCAGAGCTGCTCTGTGTGCCCACAATCCTGCCCTCAGGTCTCTTTTGGAAGACATGCTACCAAACCCATGCTGGACCATGCAATATGATGGCATATTACATGCCTGGAACAGCACCAGGGCAACTCCCCACTTATGCATGCAGGCGCTGTAAGTCAGACTATTTTTTTAGTTCTTGTGTGTGCATGACATGAGGCCATTACTCTTGTCACCACAAAGAGGAACTAGGGGGAGAAAGGAGCTACTTTTCTCGTGCACTTCCAAAATGAACGGAAAAGAATTATTTCCCTCCCCACACGGTTACATATTCTTCCAATCCAACTGCAAAACAAAACAAAACAAAAAAGGCATTCTCCTTCATTTAGTATGAAGTGAAAATGGGATGGAAATCTTTAACAGAGTTTAATTCATGACTGGAGGTTTGGGTCTGAGGCTGAGCTGGGGTAACACAGGTGGGAATGAACAACATGTTGAGCAGATGCTGATATACCTACGCTAGTCTTCAGCTTGCTAACAAAGTTTGTCTACTAGGAAAGCAATACAAACACAAACAACACCAGAGACCCCTCACAGTGTGCACAAGGAGTGAGGTGCAAAGCCTACCCACAGCCTGTTAGCAGCCAGCCTTCTGCACCGTGCTGGAGAGGCACGGAGACTGGGAAGAAATGATCTCCTTTTGTGGGAAACCAACATTTCTGAGCCCTGCCAAGCGGCTTTTTGCAATCTGGCCACTTCTAACAGACCAGAAATTCAGCACCAACACTGTGTTACTCAGTACAAATACTGGGCCAGACTCTGTAGCCTAGAAACACACATTCCTGTGACACATCCAGACTTTTTTTCACAGTTATCTGTAACTGCTGCTGTCCTGAAATACAATTAGAAGTCAGACATAAGTAATTTTTGGAGGGCTATAGGTTTTGTCCTGATGATCTCTACATAGAATATAACCTGCCTCAGCACATGATTTAGAAGGAATGGAGAGGAGGAAGAAAGGAATGGAGATTTACCTGCTCTCTCCCTCCCAGTCTCTCAGGGCTGTTTTAGGGCCATTTTAGCAGCAGCAGCAGCAGATGGAAGCTGCCTGCTCGCAGTCTTGTGTCCATGTGGCTGTGCTAATGCTCATGGAGTTACAGGACTGATTTCATACTGCAAAAGAGCCATTACATATTTAAAAGGAATATTTTTTCAATTTGTATCAGAGACCCTTTAATCTGGTCTGCATGAAGCAGACGGACAGCATAGTTAAGCTGGTTTTCTCTTTAAGTCTGAAGATAAATGAAGACTTACTCCATGTTCAGCTTTGCATACTTGCTTTCAAATCACAAACTGCTATTGAGCAAGAAGCAGAGCAGAAGGCAGTGAAGAAGTAGGAGCTGGGGGATGCAGGAGTGAGAGAAAAGCAAAGGAGAGAGGGTTGAGGGGCAGCAGGAGGAAAGAAAAAGCCCATAGGAAGAGGAAGGGACACCTTGGTCCAGAAATATATTAAATCTTTGGTTGTTTGTAGCCACATTTCTGGTCTGTAAATACACTCACAGCCCAGCTTAGCAGCACCGCCTCTCGCAGGTGGCAACTGAACCTCGACAGTCCTCAACTGGCTCAAGGCTGAACCACAGCAAATTCCCATCCTGTATCTTCCCAGCATTCCTGATCCAGGAGATCTGAAATCCTATTTTCTGTGCTGCTGTTTATTTGTGTCAAATAACAATTGCAGCAGTAAGGCCTCAGGAAAGTGAAGCCTGAGATGGGAACAGAGATAATTCTTGGCTCTGAAGGAGCCATCTCAGGTATTAAAGGGCTGGCCCCAGGCACAGAGCAATGACCTCTGTGGATTTAATACTGGGGGGATGGTTAACCCAACCTTCTGGTGACAGCAAATCCTTCCTCTTTGCTGCATGATGGATTAAGTGGCTTTTTCCTCACCCGAGGAAGTGTGTGCAGACTGCCCTGAGCGCTGGGAAGTGAAGGGAGACAGCTCCAGCCCTAAGAAATTCCTTCTCCCTGAACGAAGGACACTAAGAAGGGTTGATTTTTATTTTTCTTTCTTTCAGACACCCAAGCAAATTAAGAGTATGAGCTGATTAAATGTTAATGGGATTTATGATCTAAGTCATAAGGATCCTGAAGAATCTTACTTACTTCTTATCACTAAGAGCTTTACCATAAGAGAAAGCTTTTCTGAAGGACTGGTGCTCAGAGTCAGAGCATTGCAAACTGCATTTTGATTAAATGTAATTTGCAACTATTTCAGCCAAATAGAACCTGAAGAAATGGTTTTGCTGTGTTCAAGAGTTATCTGGACCATGATGGTTTGTTTCACTACGCCAGTACAAAAGCCACAAATCCCAAAAGGAAAGGCCCAGATGGAACTAAAATTCTGTCAAAAGGGGCATGCAAGCACACATTTGACCAGAGCAGTCACACCTACACATATGTCACCACAAAACTAAATGGGTACGGAAGGAAAAGATCTGTAAAAACTACCAAATTTGTAAGAACTATGGAAGAGCAAGGAAGAGAAAGTCAGCAAACAGACCCAGTGACCTGTAGGGGGAGGGAAACAGGAAGGAAGAAAAGGAAGAAAAAAAACAGAACCAAAACTTATGTCAGTCCTGGTTGCATTAGCCAGTATGGTTTTCCTGGAGCAGCTACCTGGAGTCTCCAAGGCAGCATGGATGCCCCAGTGAGGAGGAAAGGAGGTCACCCTGCCCTGCCTGAGCTCAGAGCTGCCTTCTGTGTCTCAGGGAGAAGGAAGGAAGAAATGAGCAGCCAGAGTTGGGGCCTCAAAGAGCCCTCCTGGTGTGCTGCAGGGGAGCGAAGCCCACTGCTGGCCCAGGGCTGTGCTGTGACTGCAGGTCCCTCTGTGTCCCCTGCCATCCCCAAGGGAAAGCTGCTCAATGCCACCAACCAAACAGCCCCTGCAGATGCCTAAGTGTCACTTTTCACACCTCCTCCTTTGAACATCGCACCTCCTGTCCTCTCAGGATCTCTCCCACTCTTTTCAGGTCAGGCAGGGCCAGGCTGTGTCACCAGAGCTGGAGACCTAAAGCTGCTTTAGATCCAACACTTGCTTTCCAAGAGCAAAACCACTCCTTTTCAATTAGGAAATAACAATCTTTCTGAACTCACACATCAGCAGTGCAGCCCTCATGGTGCCCTCAAGTATTTCTGATGCTGATCTATTGTGGTTGCTGACATTCTGATCAAACGCAGCAGCTGTCACCTGGCTTTCTAACCTGCTTTTATCCTGTGGTTAAAGGGAATTGGAATGAATGAGAGCTGTTAAGGGTTAGACAATGTTAAGATAACTTTTCACTGAATAATGTGACAGAGGGGTCGATGCGATGGGTGTAACATGGACCATTTCCACAGTGGTAAGTGTGTGTACACACATTTGACAGGCATAACAGTGCAGCAAGATACAGGAATAACATATTACCCCATGAAACTCCTAGAGAGAGATTCCAGCAAGAAGAAGACAAAGAAAGAGCAGAGTCAATGACAAACATAAGGCTATACAGTGCACCCCATGCAACTGCAGACACGTGTTGGCAGAGAAGCCAGTCCCATCCCACTCCCATCGAGTCACTGTCGTAAAAATAAACACACAAGAAAGCAACAGAATGGCTGTGCAGCCATACCCACACATCCCCCAGAGCTTCAGCCCTTCTAGACGTGGTACTTAGAGACAGGGCTTAACGGGCAGCGTTGGTGATAGGTAGGCAGTTGGACTAGATGATCCTAGAGGCCTTTTCCAACCTTAATGATTCTGTGATTCTATAAGTAGGCAGGGCAAATGCACCTTCATCCCTCTGACACTTTGGGAGGTTATATCTTTGGCTGTTTGGCAAACATCATCTGATTTTTCAGGGAGTAGTGTGAATCTCTCTGTGTCTCAGCCACCCTTCCAGTGCCAAAAATGGAAAAATGCAATCTCTCTGCTCCTATTCATCAGCTATTTCTGTGGAACAAGTGGGCTTTACACCTAGGGCTGGTAAATTTGGATGACATATTTACTAGCTTGCTTTAAGCTCCTCTGCTTCTGTTTCCCTAAAGACTAAAACATGTCTGTGTGTTTGTGGCAAATTTATCTCCAGAAAAAGAAAAGTATTTCCCCTTGAAATGCGTTGCTAAACGGAGGACATTATTATCATTATTTTTTATCATCAGTATTATTAGTCTCTCCAGCATCTCACCGGGGATCTTGCTTTCAAAAATGTTTAAACTACAGCAAAGCATCTTCAAAAGCTGCAGGCAGAAAGGCTGGTTTGAAAGACTGAGTTGAACATCATGCACCTCGCAGCAGTGACTGATGCCATCTCATATGGCTATATAAACAGTCTGTTGCTATATTCCAGATAGAGGTAGGTCTGTTTTTCCTAGGTTTTCAGAGACACATCACATCACCTTGACTGGACACCCACCGGGTCAAGAACAAATTAACTCACACCATCTGAATGGAGATCACAAACAGAAACTACTAAGAGCTACATTAAGTACATTTCTACAGCGACATCAGCGATGGGTGACAGGACTCTGGTATTTGCAAAAACCCTCTAACAAAACAATGAAAATCACCCAGCTCATTCCCCAGAAGCTCATTTTCAGGATTACTAAAATTCAGCAGGGTCAGTGCATCCGTTTGGCTTAACCAAACAGCACAGTTGAGCTAAGGAGCTTGCTATCCATCCAAACTTCATCTCAACAGTCTGATACTTGTTAGTATTCATGACTGGGCAGCAGGAGCAGAGAGCGAGCCATCTCCCCATGAATGACTGGATTTCCTGCTTTCAGATGAGAGCAGAGATAGCAGAAGGGTTCTCTCAGTTCTATGTCAGCACTCTCCCTGCCAGCTGAAATATGGGCACGTAGCAGCAGTTACAATCATAATAAAAATCACAGAAGAAATTCAAATTTTTCCAAGCCTCAGAAACAGGTTTGACTCACTTTAATCTGGAAGGCAGTAAATAGGCAGACAGGTTTTATGCATTCACTTTTGTAAATCCCTGTTCAATAATTGCTCAAAGAGCATGTAAAATAGAAACAGCTTGGGGCACGCTGTTATGAAGCACAGTCAGGGGATGTACAAGTAATTTATTTAAAAGCCGATGAGGGGTTGTTAGATATTCATGGTCCAATGTGAGCAATGGGAAACCTGAGCACAAAAAGACTCAGAAGGATAAAAAATTATTCATTCTAATGGATAACTTGTCCAAAATAAAATCTTTTTGAAGAGAAAACATTTTAGAGGCAAACCCTGATGCTTGCTCTTACGGCTCAGAAGAATTTACCCACTACCCCTCCCCCAGTCTGTCTATAATGTTTGAATTCCTAATGGAAAAAGGGAAAATCTCAGTGAAACACAGAACTGGGCATGCATGCTATGCATGCCAGTATGAGGGGTGCTCTAAAAGTAACGCCTCCTGTTTTATTACATTGTCCCACGACGTCGTAGGCAGACGTTGGTGGTACAGCAGTAGAGGTTGAAACATGTCACCAACATTCCATGGCTTTTTGTCGCTGTGCAACTGATGGCAGCAGAGGGGCAGTCTGACAGAATGGTGTCCGACATGGAAGCGTGTATGAAGCAAAGGGGGGCAACTGAATTCCTCCATGCAGAAAAAATTGACACTGGTTGACATTCCTCAAGACTTGTGGAATGTTTACGGAGACCAAACTGCAGGTGTCAGCACAGTGAGAGGAGGGTGGTGTGTTTCAGCATGGAGATGAGCCACGTTCCAGATAGCCATGCACGGCCCTCACTCCGCAAAAGGAAGAACACTTGGATCAGCTCATCTGTGCGAATCAGCACATCAAATCAGCAGGTAACTGTGTATAGAATATCAGCTCCAATGCACTGGAAATGGTGGTGACAGCGTTGGAATGTTACAAAGCCTGTGCCAGATGGGTCCCACAAATGCTCATGCAGGAACAGAAATAACACTTCATGCAAGTTTGTCAGGTCCTAGTGAACTGGTGTAAGGTTGAAGGTTGACTGTTTCCTGCATCACACGATTACCAGTGACAAGACATGATGTCATCACTACTGCAGGCAAAACTGCAATCGTGGAGCTGCAACATGAATTCAGCACTGAAGGAAAAACTCAAGGCACAGCCCTCAGAAGGTGAAGTGATGTGCGCTGTCTTTTGGGATAGGGAAGGTGTGATTCTTCAGGATTTTCTGGGACGCAGACAAACCATCACCTCTGTCCATTACATTGCAATGCTGACTCAGCTGAAGGCTCAAACTTCTAGGGTCAGTCCATAGAAGAAGACAGCCTTCCTCTTGCAACACGATAACACCAGGCCCCATACCAGTTTGAAGACCATGCAGTACATTGTCAATCTTTGCAGGACTGTCCCACCACGTCCACTGATTTGGTGCCTTCTGACTTCCATCTGTTTGGGCTGATGAAAGATGGATCACACGGGCAACATTTTCCTTGGAATTATTCCATCATAGCGACTGTGAAACAGGGCGTCACCTCTGCTGGCGCAGATTGTTCACTGACATTGTTCATTGCTGGTGTAAATGCGTAGCTAATGGTGAACATGTTGAAAAACAGAGTTTCATAGCTGAGAATCTGTTATATCTAACAGTGTTATCGTGCTCTTGGTACGTGCTGTAGTTTCCATAAGAACAGGTAGGAGGCATTACTTTCAGAGCAACCTACGTACCTGTGACTAATATTATTTAACATTTATTTCTCTCTTCAGCCTTTGTATCTCAAAACAGCTTACCTTAAAACAGAAAAATCTTTTTTTTTGAGAGGAGATGAGTGATAATCAACAGTGGCAAAGTCTCTAACAAGGGATGAGATGGCAGCCCCCTCTCAACATACTTGTACTGGGCAAAACTTTTTCCCAGATCAAAATAATTATGTAGCACAGGATTGGGCACAGAAAGCCCAAACCCCAGTATCTCTATTGAAAATATTGCTCTCAAATACCAGCTTAGGATTGAAGAATTTGTACACATGACTTTAGGTCTGCTTTTTCTGTTCTGTCTTTAATACATTCTACTTGGTAACAGAGAAATGCTGTTCCTCAACTGGTTCGCAAATCATTCCAGAAATTCCATGTCCTGTTCATCTACTGCTTGCATGAGTCCAATCACTGTAGACACTTTTTTTTATCCAGCATTCACTATGAAGAACAATGATCTAAAACACAGATGTTACAGCTCTCATGCGAAGGGGATCTTGACACTTCAGAAAATGAAAACCTCCTGGGAAATATTCCAGACCAACATTACCAGAAAGATCCCAGTATCCTTTTATGCTGGTAGCAACACGTAAGCATGTTGTCAGAGGAGCAGCAGATATGGCCATCTGCCCAAAAATTACCATCAGCCTGAAGGAAGCAAGACACGCTTCCACAGTTGCCTGACAAAGGTGAATGGGTTTTCTCATTAGCAAGTAAAACACTGCTAATTTCTTCATCTTCACTAATCATCGTGTCAACAAACAGGTGAGTGGATTTTGGACATGGGCTGCTAATCGTTCACTGTAATTATTCAAGTCTAATTTAGCAGAAAATTATACTGGCCAATTCTCAAAGCCTACTTCCTGGTCAAGCACAGAACTTCTCAGAAAAATTTCTGCACCGCAGTGACTCTGTGTCCCAGAAATACAGGGGGGTAAATTTCCTTATGCCATCCAACTGTGAGCCCCCCAAATTCTGAGGAACCTGCATGGCTCTTCCTATGGTCTGTTCTGAGAAAAAAAATGTTCCAACTAAGAGCTAATCTTCATTTTATAAAAACAAATTATCTGTGTTTGTTGCATAAAACCCTTTATGACACTAAAGAAGCACACGGAACCTTATTTAATGTCATAAATAGAGGGAGCTATTAGCAGTAAAAGGAAACTCTCTGGAAATACAAATACGCTGAACGAGGGAGGAGGGCAGAAATACCAAGGTATATGAATCATAAATGTGAATCATAAATATCCATAACTCTAGGAATAATGTTCTGTAAGAAGTTCACTGAGCTCTCAGCTCCGTTTATCAACTATTTTTTCATTGCAATGACAATTTTTAAAACGATTGCCTGAAGAGAGAAGACTGCCACAAAGCGTTGTGACGCTTGCTTGAAAAGAAGGTGGCCAGAAGGTCCCCAACGTCTTGGCTCAACCTTTGAAGGAACAGCAAATAAACTCACTCCAAGGCTGGGAGCATTTCCAAGAGATCCAATGTAGATCTTTTTCCACCCAGCTGTAAGATGATGAAGAGCAAAAACCGGACATTTTTCTGAGGAACTGATTCACAAACACTGCACCTGAGCTGGCCATGCACCATGCTCCTGCCTCGCCTGCAGTTTATTCCCTTAGAAACCTGGGTGATAAGAAAAATGTACTTACGAGAAGGCAAATGCCACCAAGGCCCCACTGACCACAATGAAGTCCAAGATGTTCCACAGGTCACGGAAATAGGAGCCAGGGTGGAGTAACAGCCCCAGGTCAATCATCTTAGGAGAAAACACATCCCAAGAATGAGTTTCAGCAAAACAAGTATCAAATTAAAGTTAATGAGGCACAGAGGAACCTCGACCAACAACCCTTCATAAACCCTTCTAGGTTTGGCACCAGCTGGGCAATGTTGAGATACTGAGTCATGCTGTGTATCTCTATGAGCACACAAAGAGCTCTGTCACAGCCAAATTTGAAGCCAATAACTATAACCAAATGCATGCCAGAAAACCACACTAACTGCTGTATAAATTCTTTTCATAGATGCACATTAATTTATATGAACAGACATCTGTGCGTGATAATAGTTTAATTTTATACTACCTCAGTCCTACCAGCTTAGTAGGAGTTAATGCTGGGAATAGGAGGTTATAATGAAATACAAAGAGGGGATGAGAAGACCCACAGCCAAATGCAGCAAAGAAAACTCCCACTCTGGATCACTTGCTAAAGGATGCTGCTCACTGTGCAGCCTTACTTGCTTCTGCATGAGCCTGATTCTTCCTTAAATGCTGCTAAGGATCTTCTAATTTAAATGCTCAACGTGAAACTCGATAAACCAAGCATCAGCTGCTACAGATATTCCTGATCAGCATCAAAAGAAAATGGAAGAAGCAGACGTGTCTCAGTGAGGTTCATCAGCTGCTGAGTCCTGAGCCACGCACAGACATTTCTGCATCGTGCACCCACCTTTCTCAGCCTCTTACACAACCACAGCTACTAAAGATATCTTTATTTTCCTCTGTGAAATGTGAGACTGAAAAGAATGAGGAAGGCGGCTACAGAGAAGCATCTGTTACGTATTGGCTACTTCTGAATGCTGCTCCTGATTTAAAGCTTTTCATCACCAACACCCCCAGCAAGCTCTGCTGCACTCCACCCTCTCCCTGCAGGTTCCCAGAAATAGAAGAGTGTGAATCTGATAGGCGAGGTGAACGTTTGTGTGAAAAGACTCTTACCTTGATCACCATCTCGAAGGTAAAGACACCCGTAAATATATAATCCAAGTACTTCAGAGCCTGAATTGGGAAGAGAAATAAGTGTACGCTGAAATGATCTGCGTGTGAGCAAAGTGTAAAAGGTCTCTTTTAGCCATGGTCTACTAGGCACAGCGCTGATGGATAAACACCCTCTTCATGGAGGTTGGACACTTTGAACAGAAACTTAAATCATCCCGTTTCAGCCTTCAGTATTTTTTCCCAGTCCTTGCCAGCCCACAGAGTGCATGCCCATGGGTTGCCTCAGTGCACCTGCATACCCAGCACGTTTAATAAGGCAAAATGGATATTACAAATCAAAATATTTGAACATCCTTTCCTGAAAAGCTTGTTTGCCAGCATCTGTGTAGCGGTCTGGGTTTTTCTGCTGTAACTGATGATAACACTATTAAAGACATTGGGATCATAAGAGAGTGATAAAACCCTTTTGTTAAAGCTCATTGCACAGTTATTAAGGATGTGGAAGAAAGATTGCTTGTAGATACTTCAGCTCATTACCTCTATAGGGATTCCTTGATCCTTGTTGGAAAAAGATGATACTGACAAGACTCAAAGGCAGGAGGCCAGCTGCATACCACAGATAACTACGTCAAAGATTCTAAAATCAGGCGACTGCATCTTGCAATCTGTGAACCCCTCAGCCCTGCATGCTCACTGGTGCCCACACAGCAGGCTGTGACCACCTCTGTGCCCCTGTTCTGCTGTGGGTGTGCTGGGGGACCCCGCTCCCTGCTGCAATGACCAATGCTGCACTGGTTGGGTTGGGTTGGGAGTTGGTCACACTCCCACTTCTCAGAAGATGAACCTTCTGAGTTTGGCTTCATACCCACGCATAAATAATTTCCTACTGGTTCTACTCATTATGCCAAGGCAACAAGCCGCTTTCATACCACTTTTTCCTTCCTCAGATTCTGCTCCTTTGGAGATGGGAACCTGCACGCGCATAACTGCCAGGAGAAGAAACACAGCTTTATTCTGGCCACGCTGGCCAGCACTCACATCGTTCCTCGGCGATTCTGCTTGGACGGGGTCTTCTGCTGCCAGGGCAATGCTGCTGAGGGCAATGACGATGAGGATGACCATCTCGAAGTAGCGCAGGTTGACGATGTAGTGGAAGAGACGCCGGATCCTGCGAACGACAGAAGCACGTGGAGGAATGCTGCAGGTGCCCCACAGCAGTAAGTACAGCACGGTGGCAGAAGGACAGCGTTCAACAAGAAGGACATCTTTAGGGTTCTTATCACAACAACGATAAGAAAATACAAACCAGGATTAACAGCTTTAATCTCAAGCTTGCAACAGTTCTGCAGTGAGATTTATGATAAAGCATTTAACATCTCTGTACTGCTCCTTCTGCAAAGCAGGGATGTGCATCTATCACAAGAGCACTATCAGAAGAAAGAAATCAAGTCTGAATGCCTGAAAGACAAATTACACGCCCTTCAAACCTATTCTCTTTGAACTGACAGAAAGAAGTCCTGTGAGTTCAAAACTAGTTTCAAAATCCTTCTAATATCAAGTAATCCCTTTGAAATTGACATGTTTTAGGTACTTTGAGACCCTCAGCTGAATCTGGCACTGTAACTGTGACTGTTTGTTCTCAGAAGCTCTCTTTTGCACAGCACCTCTTCCTGCACTTTATTCTGAGCCATTCCTTATATGTTGGACAAATACTTAAACATAATATATTTGATGAGTTTAATATTCTGGTTCATAAATGGTGTCCGAGAAAAGTAACAAATGCTTCATTTTCTAAGCAAAGGAAAACTATTCCTATATTTCAGCTAATTTACAAACACTTCACAAACACTTCACAGCAAATGCAGAGAACTCTACATAAATCCATTGAACAAAGGTCTTCAGTTCTGTCAAGAATCAAATCATGCATGCAACTAACCAACAACCTTGTTATGGAAGATGTAATTCAGTTACTGTATTGCATTTTCTCTAACCAAACATCCAAAGAGTCAGATTTTGCTTTTCGCATCGACTTACATCTTCCTTTTCTCTGGATTACTAATGGATGCAGAATGAAAAAGAATTACAAATATCAAGGGTTCAGATTTGATATGAAGCAACACGAAGGAAAATGTTGTGGTCTCCTGAACTCCTTACTCTATTCCTTGACAGTAGAGGGTTATCATCTATGTTCTCTATGAATCCATACAAACAAAAACCAACATTTTCAACGACTGCCTGTAATTGCAATTCACGAATCAAATTCAATTCATCACAGAAATAACATCTTTATTTTTAGATCTTCATCATTCATAACAAGTGATGAGAAAGCAGAAGTATGAGTAAACCTCCAGTGGTGCTGGAGGAACCACCATAATGCATGTGTGTTTGAAAAGGGTGGGTGGCACATGGGAAGTGATGCATCTCATTAACGTTTCCCAAACGCCCTTTCTGGCAGGACCTGGGTCATGTATCCCCCATGGGGTTTGGAAGGGAGCTAGTTAGAAAGAGATGGGGTGAAAATCTTCCCAAGCCAGAAAGCAGAGAGACCTCTCCAGAGAACTAATCAGCAGCCACCACATCTAGGGGCATCCAGTTGGGTTTGCATCTTGCCCAGAGAAAGAGAAACAAATTGCTGGCATTCCTGGAGCTAGGACTTCGTCTTGCTATTTCTTTTGGGTTTTGTGTTATAACACCTCTCTTCCAGGCAACTTTTTTTTTTTTTTTAATGGTCTTTTTGTAGAACTTCTGGTGTGGAGAGCAAGAGATATAAACAAGAAAACTCAAGCACCATTGAACTCTGGAACACAAGGCTCAGGACGAGGTGAGAAAAGGCAATCGCATGCAGCAAATGACAAAATTTTTCTGGTTTTTTTTTGTCAGCACAGTCTGCTGCTCAGCTCAGACCTTTCTTGACCTGGGGATGCCCACCTCCTGTTCTCAGGAGGTAGAGGTTGCTAACTTTAGCAACACTTTTGTAGCTAACACTCGTTTTTGGTGGTCATGTCACAACAAAAAAGACCCAAGTTCCCAAATAACAGGGAAATACTGCTTCCTTACCCAACCAGACAGGGTCCAATCTCCATAATTCAAGTCTGTCTCAGACAGCTGCATTTTCTGCTGCACTATGAGTGCACCCCAGCTAATGCTCTCCCTCCTATTAGCAGCATTTTAGACAAATCCAAAGGAAATTATTTGAAATAGTACAGTCATGATCGCAGCATTCTGATAAGGGAAAGCCTTCTGCACTTTCAGCTCAGTTATCCTGAAGATTTCTGAGGTTCATTGGCAGGTGGCTGGAGAAAACCAGAAAGAACAACCGTCTCTTTCATGGATCTCACACAGAAGGGGCTCTTGTCTTCAGTTCATTTCCTTCAGAGATTAGATTAGCAGCAGTTTGGGTCATTTTCCCTCTCTTACACCTGGCTTTGAGAGTCTCCAGTCTTCCCCAATGATACAGCTGCACAAGCAGAGTGTATGACCCTGGAGCAGGCAGTGAATCACAGAATCATAGAATGGCCTGGGTTGCAAAGGAGCACAGTGCTCATCCAGTTCCAACCCCTGCTGTGTGCAGGTCACCAACCAGCAGCCCAGGCTGCCCAGAGCCACATCCAGCCTGGCCTTGAATGCCTGCAGGGATGGGGCATCCGCAGCCTCCTTGGGCAGTGGTGTAGGCTGAATTACTTTGTGGGTACTTGCATTTAAAGGAGAGATTCAGCCTGCCAGACCACAGCTTCTACCACAGATGCATTTCTGATGTCAAAGATGAGCACATGGAGCGGACCCTCCTTGTTCCACTGACTATACAGGCATCCAGGATGTCTCATCGGGACAGCAGAGTGTCAGCCACTGTTCCCTTTAATCAGCTTGCCCTAGGAAGGGGCCAAGCCTACTTCTGGAACCTGAACATGCAGAGGACAACCTCAGAGAACAGCAACTAAGATATGCAACACGTCTACCCGGGCCAGAGAGAAGCAGTCACATCTGCTCCTGGCAGATATCTGGGTTGGCAGAAGTTTCAAACACCCTCTGTTGCCCTAAGTGACTGCTTTAAGTGACTCATAGGCCTTTATGCTACAATTATTACAACCCCCGCTGCACTTGTCTAGTCCTGCAGCCCTTCAAAGCGACACATTCTCTATTTACAGCCTTTGCGTACAAAGCTCCCCGTGAGGCAGAGATGCCTGAAGCAGAAGAAATGCTGTAATCCCAGCAGATCCCACAAGCTGTACTCTCAGACTTAGAAAATGGAAATAAATAAATAAATAATCATGCATTTCCAATTCAAAGTTTTCGGTGATGTGGGAGTAATGGAATAATAGAAAAAAATACAAATTCCAGCAGACGATCCTTCAAGGATCTGCTGCCATCACAACCACCTCCTGCCTGCGCCTCCTGGAAATGTCTCCTCCCAGTGCTGCCCATCGCTCTCATCACTGGCAGCCACATTTCCTGCAGTGATCTACAGCTGAACAAATAACTGCCCACAGTTAAGAAGGGTCTGCCTAAACCGTCATCGTTTCCCTTTACTGGCAATTGATTCTCCTAATAAAGCTGAGCTGAACAGCAGTATCTGGTTTGCAGCCGCCACGAGCTTTTATTTGATTTTCCAGTGCTTTTGATAGGCAGAGATGAAGATTGAGCTAATGATGTTTGTCTGAACACCCATCCTTGAAGTACATGTAACCCACGAGCACCATTTAAGAGCCAAGGGACTTACGGGTTCGTAGGACTTAGGATGAACATGGAACTGTAAGGCAAGATTGGTTTAGGCCCATTTTTTGTCAAGTCATCAACGTCCTTCTTCTCTTCTGCTTTACTTTCAAACTCAACGTTGTTCACTGAAACATGAATTAAAGGAAACAGAAATCAGAGTTAAAAATGCATCTCCCCTCTGCACAGAGCAGGCTGCCTGCAACAGCTGGATATGCAAACAATGCAGCTGGGATAGAAAACAGCTTTGAATATGTTGATTAAATGTGATGAACAATCATTTGATTATTATCACCGCTATTTACTACAGTACTGCAATTATATTTCTTAACCGCTGTACTGGTGAGCAATACAGCAGAAATGGGCAGGAAATGAAGATGCCCAGAGCAGACAAAGAAACCTTGCATTTATTTGTATAAGAGCTGCCAAAGTGGGGATGGAGAGCCCATCCCAAATATCATAAGCCACTATGGAGAGATCAGCTGGGGATCTTTGGAAAGAAAAAAAGGCAACGAGTCCCACCAACCTCATGATTCTGAACCTTTTCCCACAGATGAGTAGCAGGATTGGCTTTGCAGAACATAAAAGAACAAATTCATAGATGAGCTTTAATACTATTTGTGCTAAGGGCTGGAAAGGACTTCTTGGATCAGCAGGTTTCACGTCTGCATTGTGCACCGCCGTTTTGGCATCGCTCCCCATGTACAAAAGTGTCATGTTCCACCTCACATCAGGCTTTTAACTTACACAACTCCATTTCAGAAGATCATTCTGAATCTCAGTCCCAAAAGGTTGGAAATATGTTTTATAATTTCCATTGTAAGTTTACTTGCAGTGGGTTTGTAAGATTATTTACTTAAAATAATGTTCAATATATGAACTGGAAGACATTTCAGACCGCGAATGCTTTTCTCAGACAGAGAGATTCACTTCTCTATTAATTCACAGGAGCTGGTATCCAAAACCCTCACTCACTTATCATGCCTTAGAAGAAGGGGTTTTTATTCCCTTTTATTTTGCAACAAAATGACATTTCGCTGTGTGTGAGTGACACGTTCCATCAATCCCTTGCTGTATCTCAAGCTAGATACACAGGAAATGGCCAGGAAGGAAAGAGTGTGATAAACTTTGATTGATGGGAACTCAGTATTGCAATAAGGTAAAATCACCAGTTGGGAAAAAAAAAGAAGAAAAGATGACAGGTTAAGTCCCATGTGGCTGACAGTGGCAAAGCACGCAGAGCCTCAGCTCTTGGGACTTCTCCATGCCATGCCTGCACAGCTTGGGATGAGCCACAAGCTGCTCAGCTTGTGTCTGGATATGGGGTCTGTCTGCAAAACAGCGTAAACCCACCCCTACAGACCTATGGCTCTGGAAAAGAATAATAACAAGTGGCAGGGGGACAAAGCACTCACTGGGAATGACGGTGGTTTCTCCTGGCGGGGCAGTGATGGTGACAGGGATGTTCACAGTGGTGGTTTTGTCCAGAGGCGGCTGAATCATGCGTGTCACGTTCTTCTGGTTGTCAGCATCTTCTGGCTGCTCCGGCACTTTCTGCAGATAGGTGCTGGGAAGGGTGTGCACCGGGATGCTCACACTCCCACTGGCCTCAATCTCACACTGATTCTCCCTAAGGCAGAAGAGCAGATGTTATTAAATACGCTCTGACAAAGATTCATAGAACATATGCTGCAGTTCCTGCTAGATTTTCCTAGACTGTTCTCTACATAGAAGTCCTTTGCAGAAAATTCACAGGCTGCAGGAAAACCTCCTGGAAGCACAAGGTGCGACCTGTTCCTCTGAGACCTGAAGCGACATCCAAATACAGCATTAAGAGAAACCATGCCAGTGAAAGCAACTTTATTCCAATTAACGAGATTCATAACCATGTTCCCTGAGTAAGGACACATGGCACTTGCATGCAGCAGTGACATTAGCTCTCCAGCATCAGCTGCTTTCTGAATCAATTCTGACATTCTGCTGCTTAATGTTCTCCCGAGGCCTTATTTAAATGTGGTGATTCTCTTTTCCAGTCCTAAACCACCCTGTAACGTTGTCATAAATGGCTTCTGCAGCTTTTCCTCCGCAGCAATGACTATATTTCAGTGAGCACATGATCAAATGAAACACTATGCAAAGTGTTTTGAAACCCATCTGAAAGGAAGATAATATAGACAGGAAAATGATTATCTCAGTGCCACTCACAGCTCTCCATGGTGACATGAACTCTATTCTAAGGAATCCCAGTGCAATTTCTTTTCCATCAAATTAATAAAGCTGAAAAGGCAATCTGTCCTTCTTTATTAACTACTCTAAATGCCTCACCAATACTATTTTTCTCATTTGACTTACATAAAAATTAAACAGAATGGGATACATCATTGTTCTTAATGGAAGAACCCATTTTGCTAGCAGCCAAGTGCTGCAGCAACTGGTGATGCAGCCCATAGGCTCAACAATGAAGAGGAGAAAACCTGGAGGACTGAATGTCCCATAAAGGTGTGTTACTCAAACATCAGTTTCCTTCAAAGGCTGTGAAATTCTCTGCTCTGTGTCATGTCCTGGTTTATCTGTTGGTACTGACACCAAGGATAATTCATTCCTGAAACCTGAAGCGCTCTATGGGCAAGCATGGATGAAAACCATCTTTGTGAGCCTCTGTCTATGACGGACTGATGGTTGGACTTGATCTTATTGATCTTTTCCAACCTTAATGACTTAATTCCAATCAGATCACAGCTGATTTATGGAAAATGGCACTGCAGATTATAGTGGTAACTGGTGCGAGTGCAGCAGGAACGGCAGGAATGCCACATGGATGGGAAACAAGCTGATTTGAAGCAGGCATTTGGGGTCTCACGGCCCTGAGCTGGCACAGGAGCACTTCCAGTCGCACACTTACTTGGGCTGATGATTCTGGTGCTCCTTCTCAGCAGTCTCCCCTTCCTTCTCCCTGTTCTCCTTCTCCACCGAATCGTACGTCGACAACGCCCTGCTCCTGAACCGGTGCCGTCTGTGAGGCTCCTCTCCATTCTCACCCTTGGAGCAGGGCTCTCCTTCCCGGTTCCCAGACCTCGACCCTCCACGGTGCCGGGTTCTCCGCTCGCTCCTGGCCCCATTGATGGTCCCATTGCCCTCCTTGCCTTGCCGTTCTGCAGAGTGCCGGTGCGTGCGGTGCCTCCGGTGCTCCTTTTCAGCGCCTTCTTCCACCGACCCCCGGCGATGGTGCCTCTTCCCTCCTTCCAGGCCCCTGATGCGCTCACCTTTCCCTTCCTTGCTGCCCCCTTCCACTTCCTTGCTGCGACTTCTGTGCTGCCTGTGCCTCTCCTCCTTATTGTTGATGCCAGATTCCCCATTTTCATCTTTGGTCACATCACCTTTCTCTTGCTCTCCCAATTTCTCCTTATCCCGATGCCGGTGATGCTTCCGAGGAGCTTCTGCTCCATCAGTAGAGCTGACCTTGATCTGCTCCACCTCCTGCATATCCACAGGGCTCAGCTTGCTGATGTTGTTCCTCCCTTCACCCCTTGGCTCCACCACCAGTGGCCGATCCAAGTGGGTCTTCATGTCTGGACGGATGTGTAGGGTCGTGGCATAGCGCACCCGCTCCTCAGGGTCCAGTTCATTGTACAGAGCCTCACAGCTGGCTCGGAAATTGTGCATCCGAATCTGGCTGGTTCGCTGCTCCCAAACCGACTTGGATTTGGAGGAGTTCTGCTGCTTGCTAACAAGAGGAGGAAGGAGACAAGTTAGCATTCAGCTTCTTGTATTAATTCCCTACAAAGCAAGCACCAAAAACAAAAAAAAAAAAAGAAAAAAGAAAAAAGGAATTTCAGCTGATAGGGGGGATCAGACAGTTAAGCCAAAGAAATTATAGGAATGGAGAGAGAACATGAGCAGGGAAAGCCAGCGGGATCATCAGCGTTAGTTTGTCCCCACACGCTTCAGGCACTTTGAAACAGGCCCCAAGGAAAGGAGTTCTCTTGGTTTCTAAAAGGTGATGATCCCCCTTGAAAGCCTGAGGCATAATCTGAAGGATTATAAATCCTGCCCACCAAAATTGTACAGCACAACTGCAGTTGTGAAGCAGCTCACAGGGCTTCTCCCAAAATCCCTGCACCTTTCTGACCCCAGGGACTGAGAGAGCCACACACAGATGCAGACATGATGAGAACACTTTTATTCCCTGGAGCACTTGCTCCTTTCTGTCCTGTTCTCTGCTACAACCAGAATACCGCTGCTGACATTGCCTTACTTCTTTGATTTTCCAGCACAGCACCTGGTTTCTGTCCACCCCATGTGAATGTCACATTCTCAGCCAATGCAGGAAGAGAAGATTTGCCTTTCATCCTAAACACTGCAAATCATATTCTGCTTTCCCATAAAATCAAAGTAAATCCACCAGCTTCCATGGAGGAATTCCAGATCTGGCTTGAAGTTGGCACCTTTTTCCTTCTAAACGAAACAACTTTTAACACAGAGAGGAAAAAACATTTCCCTTCCACCACGCTGCTCTCCACCATGCTGATGTTTCCATTTGCTACGCATCAGCCTGGGTTCAGTGGCCGGAGGGGCTGCACAGTGCTCACGAACCCCAACCACTTAACACACACCCCACAAGGCTGCAGAAATAGGGCAGCAGACATCCTTATATACACTCCGGGCTCCCCTGACAATAGCAGAAAGCAGATTTTGTGCGTGTCTGTGCTGATTCAGAGTGTCAGGATCTGTCGCCACGCTCAGCCTCCGGGGAGGCAGCGTTCAGATGGGCTCACAGAGCACAGCGGGAGCTGTCAGAACGGCTTTGCGTCTCAAATGCTCCGCTGGGTTTGGGGTTTGGTTCTTCACCGTGGGTGCTGCTGCCTGGCTCTGCTAAAAGAGGCAAAAAAACGCGACTTAAATGTTCGCTGCAGATGGGAGGAGGGCACGCAGGCAGATGCGAAGCAATCTTAATCCAGAAATCAGGGTGAGCACAGCTTATCACCAAAACTACAAATCTAAGCCTCGCTGTTCCCAGAGGGCACATCCAGGGCAAGTTTCCCACCAGCTGAGTACCCGATTGACACCACAACAGTAGAACGAGTGGCAAAAACCACGGCTCTAAGTGTCAATGCAGGGCACATAACTCAGATCCCAACTGAATCCCACGTATCACGCAGAGGGCTCATGGGGCACAGCACCCCAGGCTGCCCTACTGACCCCTGGTGCATGAGGTGGACAGCTGGCAGCAACCCAGTAATTCGTTAGGGTTCAGTGCTGGGAAAGGTTCAGCTACTATCACCCATCTACTTGGTTTCAGAGGGAATCAGTAAAGCCTCCTCTGACCCCTTCCCTGCTGCTCCATAGAATATTTCCTAAGGGAAGACGTGCTCCACACTTGCAGCCTTGCACCATCAGAGATGGAGCTGCTTGGCACAGTTGTCCCTGCACATCTTCTGGGATGGATGGGTGAACGGATGGATGCCTTGCTCTGCAGTGCTGCAGATACAGCATTGCCAAACTATAAGCAATGAAAGTAAACCTCCTCTCTCCGGGACAGCACACAGGGAAACAAGGCAGCTTGGCTCTATGCACATGCATGTCTGAGCTCTGCAGCACTGTTCTGAGGGAGCATTTCTCACTTCACAATGAAAGTCCTCAGGGTGAGGACCAGCTTCTGCTTAGTGCTTTGAACATCCAGAGAAAGCTGCCAACACCAAAGGGATAAATAGGAAAAACACGTTAGAGTTGGTAAAGTGCCTTTATGCTGATTGAGGTCCTCCATCTCTCTCTAAACGGAGCACGGCACAGCCTCCTGCTCCACAGGTGGGCACCATGCTGGGGTGGGATGCAGAATTACATATTCACAGAGGATTTCAGAACCCTCCCATGAAGGTTAGGGTCATTTACCTCCAAGTGGATGAACGGGCTGCTGTGACAAAGAGTCTCGCTTCAGGAGGGGCCTTTTCATTGTTTCACTTACTCCAAGAACAGAAATCAGCCTCACAACTACCTCTGTGGTACTAAGGGTCCTGTGCTTGACTTGGTGAGCTGGGTGCACACACCAATAAGAACCTGGAATCCAGCAAGGCACACATTAACTAAGCCTATTTTGCTGAAATTTCTTCTTTACAACAGACACCAGCATCACAGACTCAAATTTCACAGCACCTAGAAGTGAGATACACCTTTAGCATCGACCCAGTAGTGGCAGTGATTGCCAACTGACAGCACCATGCAGCCACCCGCTGGCACTGGTCGCTAAGTCCCAGACTGGGAGGCTCAGAATGGCTGCATCCTTTCTCTTTTCCATATGAAAACTCACCAGAAAAAAAAAAAAATTAATCAAAAAAAGAAAAAAAAAATCAGAACATTTATAAAGTGCAGTAAAATAGAAATCAGGAAAATGCGCAGCCTGCCTGCAAGCTCATTACTGCATTCAACCCAGTCGAGAACATCTGGAGCAAGTGACAGCACGCATAAAGCTGCTGCAGGAAATGGGAGCGAAGGAACCGAGCAGGTCGGTCCCTCTGGGGACAGCATTTAGGGTTTTTCAGAGCGAAAGCAGCAGCAACTGGAGGGAACGTGCTGCCTGCTTGTCCAATTCCATTTATCGGGCTTTTGCTTCCTCTATGTTCCCACAGCAACTGAGCACGGCCATGTGCGACCGCTTCTCCTCTCCTGTTGCTCTGCTGCACCTCCTCTCCAAGGAGAGCTTTTGAACTTTCTATGGCACGGCAGGAATGTCACCTTACAACACAGCAGTCCCCTATGGCCGCCTGTGCACACACATCTGCACAGAGATGGAAAAACCAAGCGGGGGCAAAAAGAAGATTGCACTGAGCACCTCCGATGCACTGACGCGACACAAAGGTCAATGCTAATGCACTTTCTCTACAATCACTCCTCGTTCTTATTTTCTGTCTACAGAATGTGCTGTGCTCCTTAATGGGGGACCAGCAACACACTCAGTGTTCGAGTCCTCCGGGCTCAAAACACCGTAGGTTGTTATTTCTGCTAACATGCTGCTCTGCGAAGTCCCATCAGTGTCCCTTGGATTAAGCAGCCAGCAGACAAGCAAATCCTATAGCTAGAAAGAAAACCATCACATTTTTGTATAATAAATATAATTGATATTAATGAACTGTTGACTAATATGGGTTCAAATAAAAAAGCTGCCAGCCACTGTACAGACCACTCAGGAAAGGAAAGCATACTTTTAGCCACCTTCTAATCTTAGCCATTCCGTAATGACCAAAGATTTTGTTGTAGTAACCTTTTAAAACAGTGCTGCAGTTAATGGCACTTTGCATCCCAGCACTGCTGGTTTAATCAGCCACCGAAATGCAATCCTCACAATTTTGCTGTAGTAAATAATGAATGAAATCTGACTGCAAACATAATAATTTGATGTTAAAAATACCCAGGTATTAGATTGTGGGTAGGAAAGAGCATGTTCTCATTACAAGTGGGAGGGAATTTCTTGTTAAAATAGAGTATCAATAGAAAATGGGATATAAAAAAACCTTTCAAGAACAGCAATAACAAAAATAAATCTGATTTTCTGTGCATCCATTTGGAGCAGCATTCTCCATGTTTGAATTTTCCACTCAGAAAATACAAAGGCAGCACATCGGTCCAGGGTGGGCACGCACAAAGCTTTATCTCTGCTTTGATAAAACAATTTTCTTCCAGATGAGCTCACTGCTGGCTCTTCACTGTGCTTTGCCCATGACCCGGGAGCTGCAGCCTGGATGCTTTAGCACTTTTTCTTCTTTATGAGCCACATTTCCCTGCCTGGGTTCTCCTGGGAGACGCACTGTGCTCTCACTGAGCGCGTGTGACGGTGCACATCACAGAAACACCATGATCAAGGACAGCAATGGGAAATGCTGCCCACTCCCTTCCAATATTCCTCTTGAATTTGATTTTGGCTTTATATATTAGATTTATATACGTATACATATATATATATAAATATATATAATTTTCTCAGAAGGAAAATATGTTTCTTTCACAAATTTCCTCCCAATGTCCTCTGGCCTGAAACTCTAAATTTTGCATGTGGCCTGAGCAAAAGTTCGGAAAGCTCTCATGCTTTATTGCTGCTCCCAGGCGGTGTCCATGGGCATGATTTCCTACGAGAAGCAGAAGCCAGTATATGCTGCTGCTCAGTATACAAAGACTGCCATCATCACCAGCTTTCATACAGCTCTGCAGGGATGCAAGGTCCATCCATGCCAAAGTGTTCTGGAATTCACACAGCAGAAGTTTTGCTGCTTTTACTAAGGAAGACAGAATGATTTCACTCCACCATAGCTCACCAACCTGCATGCTGCTTCCTATCTCTCTAATAGGAAGAGCTTTTAAATATCTGTATATGTATTTAAGTACATTGCATAATAATTCCAGTATCAAAATAAGACTTAGCTTTCCACAAACTCCGATTTGATGACAAGCTAACCCACTGTGAGGTGATTTTACTACAAGCACAACTATGTTTAATCTATAGACAGACATTAAGTTCTCCAAAAATTCAGTCTTGGAACATTTGTTTATTTTTTAATCATGATTACTACTTTACTTCACCTTGGCCTCTGGCATGTGCACATTTCCTTTTCTAGAGGACATTCTGACAGCTGTTCCATAATCACAGAACCACAGAAAGATCATTAAGATCACACAGTCCAACCACTGCCCCATGCCTGTGACTGCTCTGACCATGCCACCCAAAGCAGCATCTCG